GGGTTCTGATTCTGGTCTTGCACTAACTGGCTGAATGACCTTGAAGAAACCCCTTCTGGACCTCTAAAGGACCTCTGAGCTCCACCAATCTAAAGAATCTAAAACAGAATTTCTAATTGTGGCTTCAAGCCAAATCTGGAAAAGCTCACCTCACCCTTCCCAGGCTCTGCTTGACAGCTTAAGTCTTCTCTGTCAAACCAGTTTCTTAGTTTGACACTGATCCTCCAACACATGATTTGCTTTTAACAGTTCTGAGCCTTTGCTGGAGGAAACTGCCTCTCCAAACACACCTCAATTTTTCTACCTTCTCTAAAACATCTTTCTTTACCCTGGTCACCATATCCAGCACTCGTCTTAATGTTTATAGTATGATCTTATTTTTCCTACAAAGTTAAGAACTGTCTCTTTATGAAGTAGGTGCTCAAAAACAACTGATCAATATGTGATGGTCTACATCCCATTCTAATGCTTCTGCTAGCCTGCTGTGACAACTTCTGGTTCTTGTCAACAGTGAGGAGCAAGACATATCATTGCTATATGAAATATGGGATTTCCTAGGATGATTTATTATGAAAGTTAAGTTAAATGAATGCAAAACACTGCTTCATTTTTTGCCTTTAAAATGAAACTACCTTGTAAATTGTCTAAGAAAATGTATTCCTCCAATCCTCTAGCAATCCTCAAGAGAAGAAGGTGGCCTAGGTCATTGCTATTCTGTTCTATAAAACAAAGGTTCACAGGAACTAGAAGCTCATGCCAGGGATTGCCAAGATGTTTTGTGGTTGTAAGAACAAAAGATGAGCTAACACATTTTATGTCCCACTTGTTATGATCAAGCAGAAGGATCTAGCATAGCACCAAGCGTGAACACAGGATGATGTATATGAATGGTCTGCAGGCAAACATTCAAATTTTGGGGTCTGGAGTTCCATGAGGCAGCCTTACTGGTCAACTTCATCAATAAACTTGGTTGACTTGAAATTAAAACCTTGAAAGCACACTGTGAATTACAGTGTCTGAAGCTGAGGATTCTAAACTAGGAGCCACTGTTCCTCAAGAGAAAGAGTACTTACATTTACGCCCAGTGCTCACACTGGACTCCAATTTCTTGAGCTTCATTACCACCTTCTCTTTGCCAGCTTTAGGCTCTAACAAATATCTAAGCAACATGCATGTGTATTGAGTGGCTCTGAAATGGAAAAAAAAATGAGGAAAATGATTGACCAGCCAAATAAAACTTAATTCATGAAGTAAAGGAAAAAGAAACATCTCTCTGAAGACAAAGTTTCTAAGAGGATTTCTCCTCAGCAGCTCTTCCAAGAGCAAAATTCTGCAACAGTCATTCTGCAGAGGGCCAAAGGGTAGAACATGTAATGGAAATGCAAACCAAAGGTTATTATGAAAAAGGACTCTGCAATAATGCAGTGAACAGCTCCCCAGAAGGCTCCTTACTGGCACAGAAAAATGAATGTAGTCGAAGTGGAAATTGCCCCAAAGTCTCCCTGTGAAGTCTGCAAAGATCCATACATGTTATTTTTTCCAGTGTAGAAAAAAATCATTCTATACATTCAGATTTCTTTTTTTAATATTTATTTTTTAGTTTTAGGAGGACACAATATCTTTATTTTATTTTTTTATGTGGTGCTGAGGATCAAACCCAGTGCCTCACACATGCCAGGCGAGCGTGCTACCTACCACCTGAGCCACATCCCGAGCCCACATTCAGATTTCTTAAATTAACCATTCTACCACATAGTTAACCTACTATTTACGTGAGAGGACACAAAATTCACAATTCAAGATCCAAATGAAAATCTACAGTCTGAATATTGTTTAATCTTTTAAAAATTAAGGACAAAATACACACCAGTACACAAATTAGTATAGACATAGTTTATATTTGCCTTTCAAAACTTATAAGTATTATATATAAAATACAGACAGAATCCTGTTTAATAATACTATATACTCAATAAAAAGAGTGCCTACTTTAACAATGACTTACTGATAAATATAACAAATGAGAAATTGGATATCACAGAAACATCCAAATGCATCTGGCAGTCTAGTCAATAAAAGTAAGTGCCAGTTCCTATTGTCCTATAACTGCATTTGAGTCCTTTTTATGATATAAATATTAATCTCAAAAAAGTGGCACATTTTCCAAAATTTTAGTAATTAAGTAAAAGAAAAGAAATAGTTGGGGGTGTGGTTCAGTGGCCGAGCACTCCCTTAGCATGCACAACACCCTGGGTTTGAGTCTAGTACCATAAAAAAGAGAGGGAGAAGGAGGAGGGGGAAATAGGGGGAGAACAAGACAGACAGAGATCTGTCTTCTCTCCTCTTTTTTTTTTTTCATATTGGGGATTGAACCCCGGCATGCTCTACCACTGAGCTGCATCCCCAGCCCTTCTTATTGAGACAGGATCTTGCCAAGGTGCCCAGGCTGGCCTTGAACCTGGGATCTTCCTGCCTCAGCCTGAGTCGCTGGGCTTATAGGTGTGTCACTGAACCAGGCACTCTGCCTTTTTAAAAGTGTGCTTTCTGATCAGAGGGCTCAAGCTACTCATGTCAGATTTGATCTAACAATAGGAGTAGGTCTGAAAATGGCATTATTTGATGAATACCAACTTGTTCATGGAGGTTATATAGATCATTAAGAGGGCTGGGAAATGAACACTAGAGATCTGATCTTGCTGAATAAATATATCCTAAGTGATTATTTAATTAACACCCTTCTTGATAAAATTGCAGGATATATTCTGGGTATATTGGAATTATAGTTTTCTATTTTAATAAAGGTTGTATATATTGCAACTATTTTGAAAAGCTATCAAATTAATTAGAAAGATTTAGCACTTAAGAGGTGGGCCCTGGAATCTTTGTGGATTTGTATCTCTCAACTCTGCTGCTTAGTACCCATTAACCTCCTTCTGTCTCAGTTTCCCATCTGTGAAAGTATCTACTTCACAGAGTTGTCATGAGGGTTAAATAAGTTAATATGGGCAAAGCATTGAGAACAAACTTGATACAGTTTGCTTACCAAAGTCTCATTGGGGCTATTCTTACTGGTGTGTTTGTGTGTTAGCACTTGAATACTGTTAAGTAAAACTGCAACAGTAACTATTGTGACTATTCTGCAGGAATGAACTAAAATACTAAAAGAAGCATCATGAGCAAGGATTAATAATCAAAACAAACTGAATTTTCAGGGGCACAGCATGTGCCTTGTAGATGCAGTTAGTTCTAAGGGCTCTCTCCACTGTGTTTTTAGAGTTTATACAATTATTTCACACTCGGTATGTGAATCACACAGATTGGGCAATAGTGTAAGATAAAGAAAATAAATAAAACTTCTGTTTCTCCATAAGCATTTTGAAATACCCCCTTGAGGGGGTATTTGAAACAAGTGGTTTGCTTCCCTAGTCACAAATGCCAACCCAAAATTTCTCTTTAACCCACTAAGTCCCAAAGTTTCAATTCTGCAAATATTTTTTTTTTTAAATCGACATGGGCTTATTAAAATACGCTGGAAAAGATCATCTATCCTTTATAGATATTTTCATATATATTCAAACACTCTATTCATTCACCTATTACTTTTCTCAAAAGAACAATTAAAATATAATATTTATTTCAAAGGGACTATAAATGCCCATTTCAAAGTTACAATTCTAAGTTTTAAAAACAGGTTTTGTATATAGGGCTATGGGACATAATGAGTTAAAAGAAATCCCTTGGAAGAATGTTGGGTGAGGAGAACTCGGTTTTCCTTTACCAGGAGAAGAAAGTTCTGAGCGAGGAGGGTTGGTGGAGGGGTGTCACACAGCCAGCGGCCTCTAGGCGGCTGGGGTGCACAGCCCCTGGGAATTGAAGGTGAAGAGGGGCTCTTGTACCAAACTTCCTCAGCGGGAGCTGGAGGCATCCTGCTTGCTTCGATTTCCCGGGTTATTAGCTCACTCCTCCTTCTCGGGTGCTGAGAACCCAGAGAGGAAGGGATGGAGGCCGCCGGCACTGACCTGAAGAGTCGGTCCCGACCTTGGGTCTGGTTGGTGAAGCGGATGAAGGCGTCCATGGCACCGGCCCGAGGCAACACGGGGTCGGTCGTGGGTCCTCTAGGGCTCAGCTGGCCCCTGGGGGGAGTCCGGGTCAGGGCAACTGCGGGGTGGGAGGGGCTGACTCTCTCCGCCCACGTGAGGCCGACACGCCTCCTAAGAGCTGCTAGCGGGTTTCCGGTCGAAACCGGAAGTAGCGGTTACTAAAGCGACACCCGGACGCCTGGCCCGGTGAGCTCAACCTCGGATCCTAGGATCGGGTGTGGCGGCTCTCTTGATGTTCAAGGACTTCGGATTGCCAGCTGGGTCTCCAAACCGAACCGTGAGGGGCCCGTCTCCCCGTTCTCAGGCGTTCCAAGGGCTCTGCTTCCCAGCAGATCTCAGGCGCTCAGGAATCCCAGGGAGAATCCCAAGGGGTCTCTCCAGCCAGAGAACTCCCCTGGGCCTTTGCTTGGGGAGGGCATCATTTCTCAGCGCAGTGCCTCCACCCCCCCCCACCCCACCCCCCCACCCCCCACACACCCCGCCACCTTCCCCGCTCCAGGTCAGATAATGGTTAGAGCTGAGCCAATACTTGGAGTGTATTTCTAACTTGAGAGCCGGGTAAATTATGTGAGAGATTTTTCTCTTAGGATTATTGAACACTGAAAGATGATTATCTGAGGAAGCCTTAAAAGGGTCGACATGCACAAAGTAGAGGCAAAGTAGATTACAATGAAGTTACACCACTGAATCTTCATTCGATGGGCCTTAATTTTGTAAAATGCATCCCCTACAGCCACAAAGTAAGGCTCTCTGTTTTTTGTTTTGTTTTGTTTTGTTTTTAAAGAGAGAGAGAGAGAATCTTTTTTGTAGATGGACACAACACAATGCCTTTATTTTTATGTGGTGCTGAGAATCGAACCCAGGTCGCAACCTTGCTAGGTGAGCTCTCTACCGCTGAGCCACATCCAGCCCAAGGCCCTCTGTTTTTGTAATCCTCTTCCTCTAATATTTTCAGGTCTGGGGTAAGCTTACAAATGGAAAGCCATATCATATGGTTAAATATTTAAAAAGTATAAATCGAGTAACAAATTGTTAGATAAAATATTTTGTTCTCCTGCTTTGGCAAATGTACATTTATATGTATAAGGCCAGGTTCACTTTTAGATTTCTTAGACTCCTTGAAAACCTGGAAACACAACTGGAATGTGGTAATGTAGCCACAACTAGACCCCTGACTTTTCCCACCCCCCTTTCTCTTCTGGTCTTTTACTCCCACCTACATTGCTAAAAGGGTGCATATAGGGTGTGGATACTCCAAGACACATCCATGTTTTGCCCATGCCCTATGCAGCTATGGGCATCTTTCAGGTCTAGGGGTGCTTAACAACGGAGAATACCTCCAGGAAGAAATCAGAAAGACTCATTCAGGTCCTGGCATCCTTTGGGCCATAATTTTAGAGGTGTGGGTATCTTGAACCTGGTCTTAATTAGAAGAGGGAAACTAGACTTTGGGTAAGTATATTCTCTCAGCCCCATGGATTACTCATGGTTTGCAGAGGGACATGCCTTTAAGAAGGATAAAAGTAGCCAGGTGTGGTGGTGTAGGTCTGTATTCCCAGTAAGTAGGGAGGCTGATGGAGGAGGATCATAAGTTAAAGGCCAGCCTCAACAATTTAGCAAGAGCCTGTCTCAAAATGAAAACAGAGCTGGAGATAAAGCTCAATGGTAAAGCACCTCTGTGTTCAATCCTAATGACAAAAAAAGAAAAAGAAAGCCACATGTATTCTCCCTGCATAGCACAGGACCAGCAGTGCTGAAAACTATAAGAATTTGTTGACTTCTGGCCACATAGTACCAACTGTTGTGCTAAGTCTAGGCCTAGGGCAACAGGTTAGTAAGTTACACTGTAAATTGATAAGTACATACATTAATGTATTTGATGATGAGATGAGGAAAATGTGCTTTTTAAAAAATATATATATATATTTTTTAGTTGTAGATGGACACAATGTCTTTGTTTATCTTTATGTGGTGCTCACCCAGGGCCTCACACATGCTAGGCAAGCGCTGTACCACTGAGACACAACCCCAGCCCCTCAAAGGTGCATTTAACAAATTTTTAAAGTATATATTTTTTAGTTGTAGTTGGACACAATACTTTTATTTTTTAAATTTATTTTTATGTGGTGCTGAGGATCCCAGTGCTTTGCACATGCTAGGCGAGCGCTCTACTGCCGGGTCACAACCCCAGCCCTTTTAAACAGATTTTTATCTTTTGTTTTCTATGCATGTGGCTTTTTCTATCTTGATTTCTTTCATTTAGCATGATGCATTTGAGTTTCATTCATGTTGTTCATATCAATAGTTTGTAATTTTTATTGCTGAGAAAGATTCCATAATGTGAATGTGCCATAGCTCATTATCCATATACCCAAGTGAAATACATTCATGTTGTCTCCAGTTTGGGGCAATCACAAATAAAGCTGTTATAAATATTTAAGTACAGATTTATATATGAAATATAAATTTTATTTTTTCTTGCATAAATACATAGAAATATGATTGCTGAATTATATGATACATTTAACTGACTGCTAAAATTTTCCAAAATAGTTGTACTATTTTTATGGCCACTAACAATGTGCAAGAGTTTATCTGTTTGTCTACTGGTAAATATTTGAATTGTTTCCACTGTGATGTGCCTACAAACAAAGCTGTAATGACATGGGCAAGTCTTAGACATACATTTTTCAGTTCCCTTCTATCACCCCTAGGAGTGGACTAACTGGATATTATGGTATGGATGTATATAAATGTATACACATGTGAGGCAAGTGCTCCTTCACTGTGCTACAACACCAGCCCTGGTAACTATGTATTTAACTTTTTAAGAAACCCCCAAACTCTTCCAAACTGTACTACTTTCTCAGCATCAGTATATGAGCATTCCAGTTCCTTCATATCCTTTACAATATTTGGTATAGTCTATTTTTTAAAATTTTAGGCATTCCAATAATATGTAATTGCATCTTATGATTTTAATTTGAATCTCACTAATACCTATGACACTGAACATCTTTGAATGTTCTTTTTGCCATCTGCATACCTTCTTTGGTTAAGTGTCTGTCTTTTGCCCATTTTTAAAAACTGAAGTATTTATTTTCTTATTTTGAGAGTTTTTAAAATACTTTGGATACAGCTGGGCTTGGAGGGCATATGCCTGTAATCCCAGTGACTCTGGAGGCTGAGGCAGGAGGATTGCAAGTTCAAGGTCAACCTCAGCAACTTAGCAAGACTCTGTCTTAAAAAAAAAAAAAAGAGCTGGGGATGTGGCTCAGTGGCCACATCAATACCCACCCCCCCACGCCAAAAGCCAGCTGGCAATTATGAGATTTCCTTCCTGGCTGGTGGCATGAACAGGTTACTGTTCCCACTGATTACTTCAGGTGTTTCTTTCAACTGGAGGGAAACATCACAAGTGGACTCCAGTGTGGAAGAAAAGATGATGATAGCATCAGGGCCTTTATATGACTCCCCTGGTCCTCAGACACTATCATGGTGCAACTCTACTCCACTACATGTTACAGGTGTCCCAGGCTCCCCATTAAATGCTTTTTTTTTTTCAACTGTAGCATTGGGAGTCCTTTTTAAACACAATTTTGAGTTTTCTGAAGTACAAATTACTTGTTTTCTCTTTGAATTTTTATATACACGTACAGACCAGAGTTGATAAGTTATAAGTATTTTTGTAAAAAATGACTATTTTGATTTTGTAGGAGCGTTTTAGTCAGTAATTTTTTTCAGGTCTCGGACATTTCTTTTTGTACAGACTTTTGTTTTGCTTTTGTGGTGCTGGGGATTGAACCCATGGCCTCTTGCATGCTAGACAAGTGCTGTACCACTATACATCCCCAGCCTAGCAGACATTTTTATAAACCCTTGAAGAATCTCGTGGGTCCTGGGCCCTGTGCCTGCAGATCTCCTGTGTGGCAGCAATGGGAAAGTGAGAAGGCAACAGATTGGACAGTGAGGACTGATGATGTTGAACTGAATCTCATTGGGGTTGAGGGAAGAGAAAGAAAGAGTATAGTCATGGCTTCTCACCAGGCTGACTTGAGCACAGTCATTTATCAATACAGAGAAGCAGAAGAAGGCTTTGTTCTAGGAGAGATGGTGAATTCCATTTGGGACAAATGACAGCTACTGTCCTATCAGGTGACAAAAGGCAACAGGGTGCCAAACTCCCCTCCTTCTATCATATCAAATATCTTCCTGGGTTGGTCAGAAGTTAGCTGTCTCTTATGATATCCTTCTAATATGAAGACCACAACTTAGGAATGTAGTAGCAATCCTGTGATTAAATAAGGAAAGTGCCAGTATCTGGAATAAATAATCCCCAGAGGCCACTGTGCTATAGAAGTGTGGTATGCTGACTTCTTGCTTCCCTGCTTTTCTCAAATTTCCTTTGCTTATTTCCCTTCTCAGCTTTCAGAGTTTCACAGAAGTTTCCTGTATCACCTTCTATGATGTCTACCAAGAGAAGTCAGACCCAGAAGATGAGGCTGCCTACATTTACTCAAAAGGTACCACTGGTGGTGCCATCCCCAACAGAGAAGGACTGGTCTAAGGATAACATAGAGGATTATGTCATCAAGGACCTAGATCAGGGGGTGGATTCCCTGCCTCAGCCTTATCGAATGATCAATAAGCTGGTGAATCTTGTGTTTGACTTGGCATGGGAACTTATTGAAGAGAGGGATACCTTGAAGGAATCTGAGAGCGATTGCATCCAGCTCACTATCTACCCTCCACTGACAGAAGTCCAGGTAGGGAACCGGCGGCTGACCAGAAGTCTCTGTTTCTCCATTGAACTTTTTTTTTTTTTTTTTTGACATTTTTCTTAGTTGTAGTTGGACACAATACCTTTGTTTTATTTATTTACTTTAATGTGGTGCTGAGGATCGAACCCAGGGCATTGCACACGCTAGGCAAGCGCTCTACCGCTGAGCCACAACCCCAGCCCCTCTGTTGAATGTTAATATGTGAAAACACCTGATCCAGGGAAGGTCTTCCTACTAGAAACCTTCATTTAATAAGACAGGTGCAATTTTGAAAGGCTGTATGCATGCTGATGTTGATTAAAATAGTTCAGGTAACTGTTATTGATACTGAGAAATCTTCCCTAACGAGTTAATCTGCTCTCTGGCTTGACAGTTGCAACTAGCCAGTGCCTCTTTTGTTGTTCTTCCCATAGTGCACTAGAAAAAGTGTGGGGCCGTGGTCATGTTTAGTGTTGCAAATGTGTATTTATTCTTTGTTTTCTCTGGCCTCTTTCCCCTGAAAGTGAAATGCTATGAATTTCTTAATATATGGGTAAGAGTTTTAGATGAGCACTGTGTCTGGGGATGATCTTTGGAGGAAAAGCTCTTAAACCTTTGAAAAGTACCTTGTGTTTCTTGAAGATAGACAGTGAGAATGAAAATAATTCTGTTTTCTTTGTTTGTTTGTTTTTTCCCCCAGCTAAACAAAATGCCCAATTGTATGGCTATTTCCCAAGACTATGTATTTATTGGAGTAGGCAAAGGATTCTTCATCTATAATCTGTACAACACTAAACGGATATGTACTTGGGAGAAACTTAAGGTTGATGTCACCTCCATCTGGGCCACAGATTTAGGAAATGAAATACTGATTGCTCTCCTGGATGAAATGGGTATTATTTGTACTTCATCTTTCTTTTTAGCTTAATATATAGGTATCTGCAGTTTAATTTGAGCTCCTTTCCAGGCATGAGTGGGGCCAAGCATGGATTTTTACCCCTGGTCATACAGTAGTAGCTAATACCTTCAAGAATGGTGTGTCAGGCACTATTTTAATATTTTATATACATTAGCCCATTTAATCCTTACAGCAGTCCTAGGAAGGACTGTTTAGAAGAGGCAACTGAGGCATGGAGGTTAAATAACTTACTTGAGTTAATGTGCAAAGTAAATGGCACAGGCAGGCTTCAACCAGGTGGTATAGCCCCAGAGTCCACCCAATTTCAGTACTCAGCAGTTCTGCCACCCATGTAAACCAGAGCTTGCTTTTTTCTTTTAGTTCTAGGATGGACCAGACCTTTCTGGGGTGTATGGTATAGAACACTCTAGACAGTGTCCTGCATCAGTGAGTTGTTGCTATTGTTTGCCTCCAAAAGGCTGGGCTCCCTCTAACCTGTCCTTAATGTTTGGGCAACCCACACCACTTCCGGGGATTAGGGAGCTTCTCTATTTTGCAAAACAGGAGAAGGCAAGTGTCAGCATTGGCCAGGAAATCAGGAAGTGGTTTATGATATTGGGGCAAACAGGGCAGAATGTTCCTGCTTGCTTTGAGTCATCTATGCAATCATGCATCTCTCTAAATGACAGGCTCTGTTCAACCCTCACAGGTGCACTGGAGAATGGCCTGACCAGACTGGCATAGTAGGAGGGGTATTGCGGCAGGAGTTTGAAAATAAAAGGCAGAGAGATCAGGAAATATTGTATTCATTGAGGAGAGAAATGAGGAAGGTCTGAGCCAAGGCAGGGGCTGTTAAAATAGAAAGAAAAATGGTACTAGTATATTGTAAGTGGGATTCACTGTGGTATAAATCATACATGAACATAGCATAATTTGGTAGATTTCATTCCCTAGTACTTCCCCATGCTCTCTGTTTGTCTTTCTTCTATTTTCATGAGATTCTTCTCTCTCTCTCTCTCTCTCTCTCTCTCTCTCTCTCTCTCTCTCATATGAGAGAAAACTCTGACCCTTGACTTCCTGAGTCTGGCTTATTTCACTTAGTATGATGTTCTCCAGTTCTCTGAATTTACTGACAAATGACATAAACTTAATTCTTCTTTACAGCTGAATAAAAACTCCATTGTGTTATATGTCACATTTCTTTTTCCATTCATCTGTTGACAGGCACTTGGGCTGGTTCCATAACTCAGTTGTTGTGAATTGCAATGCTATAAAGCTTGATATGCATGTATCACTATAGTATGCTGATTTTAGTTCTTTGTATTATTTTTGAAACTTTTCTATGGGTCTAAAATTAGCTGAAAATAAAAAGTTTAAGTAATGGAAATATAATGTTGAAACAGGAGTGAGGGAGTATGTGTATGAGGTGGGGGATGGGGAGGTATGAGGGGGCAGTAAAGAAAAATGACTCTATCTTAGCTAACTGGCAGGATGATGATTGTAATTCCTTGAGAACAATTATAGAATAAGATTTTAGGGGTCCGAGGTGAAAAATTCCATTTGAACATGCACAATTTGAGGCACCTAGAGGATGTTGGTGGGAATGATTCTCAGAAGAAGTTTGGTTCAAAGAAAGGTTTAGATTTATTATTTTTGTGCTTCATTTCTGTGTAAGCCTCGATATGATAAATTTGAAGGCAAACCACCTTGGTATCCCCAGCGTTGGCTTGGAGCAGATAGCTCATGAGTGTTTATTGGGTTGAATTAGACTTTCACCTGGTCAGATACTTTATGAGGTCTATATCATGAGTAGAAAGGCAAGTTATGAGTTCTGGGAGGTACCTAAACAAAGAGGTAGGAGGTCATGGGGGGTGATGATCATACACTGGAGCTCTTGGGCTAATTGGGAATTAGAATGACAGAATTACTTATCAATTCAATGAAATAACCACATGAGAAGCTTGTTGGGGCTGAGGCACATGGAAGGGTAAGATATGATGTGTTCCCTCGAAGAATCTATGACCTGGCAAAAAGAATTTTTCACAGAAGCCACATGGACAACGATGTGAAACAGTAGGGGATGATGTGACAAAACACATCAAAGAGTGGCTTGGTCAAGGGGTGTATTAGTGTGACTAAGGGTCCTAAAGGAGACTTCTGTGGGTAAAGCCAGGTAAGTAGAGGTGGCCCAGGAGAGATAACAACCTCAACATTTCAAGTGGAAGGCTGAGGAAGGTGGAGATATCAAGGGCAGCACAGGCAGAGTGGGGGCCAGGGAGGAGGCTAAGAGTGCATGATAAGTTCAGAGGTCAGATACAAATCCCAACCTTCTTTGGCTCACTTGTCTTACATGCTCACTTGTTTTTCTGTTTCAGGTATCATTAGACTGTTTTACTTTTATAAGGATAGCCTTTTCCTAATCAAAGCCATCAATGAAGTGGTAAGTTCCTGTTCTTTCCCTTTACTGGGGATATTTGGAAGAATAACTTCAGGAAGTGCCCCTGCAGAGTATGAGCTGGAGAGTTGATCTCATTTAAAAACTTTTTTTAGTTGTCAATGGATTTTTTTTCTTTAAATTATTATTTGCAGTGCTGAGGATCAAACCCAGAGCCTCATACATGCCTGGCAAGAGCTCTACCATTGAGCCACAAGATGTTGAAGAAAAGGGTGCAATGGCAGGGAATGTTACAGGGCCTGGTGGTGGTCAAGCGCAACAGTAGATATTCCACAAACTGCAACTGTTATAAATGCTCTAACATTATGAATGCTGTCCTTGCCATAGGGCTAGTCTTCCATGCACTTACCAGAGAATTATCAGAAGCCTGAGAGTGGAAAGGACTGAAATTTGGACAGTGCTCCCCAAAGCCAGACTCAAGCAGTGGTTCCCAGCTTACTATAAATGGGGATCTTATGGGCACCTTGGGATGATAGTTCCTGTGCACAGGGAGAAGTGATGAGGGGGCTGACAACCAGAGTGCAAGAGAACTAGGTAGACCAGTGACAGAACATGCATCAGGGTTCTAGACCATGATTGTCATGGAGTGCTCCTTGCACGCCATGCTGCACTCCATGCTGTAGGTCAGCAGTGAAGAGAAGGGAAGTCAAGGAGATGAGACCTGAGGTCTGCAACACAACTCCAATTTATAGATGTAGATGCCCAGAAAGCCCTAAACCACAAAGTGGCAAAGAGACCAAGGTGGCAAAGAGAACAGAAGCTGCCGATCCACCAGCTGAACACTGGTCCACTCCCCAGGCTGCCAGGGCAGGGCTGAGTGCAGGCACGCCACCTCTCCCATCACTGGCATGATCTCCAACAAGAGATGAATTTCCAGCAGTGAAAGATGAACAAAGGATTGAAGCCCAAGAGCCTAAGTGCTTGCTTTTTGCCTGTTGACCCGATAACTAGAATTATATATCTATGTAGCATCTGTTCTGTATTTTTTCTTTGGTAATGACAAATGTGTTTTGTAAAAACGTCTGGTTTTCCTCAGTATGCCATTTACAGGTTTTAAAACAATTTTATATCTGGCCAAGTTGAAATTTTTAAAAACTTTGGTTGGGGGACATGTGTGGTAAGCCTTTGATTTGCTGAGGGATCTAGCTAAACAACATAGTGGTCTCTTCCACCAACATTTTATCATGAAAAATTTCAAAACTGCAGAAAAGTTGAAAAATTATATGGTGTTTACTTATATGCTTACTGCAAGAGACTGCAAGAACTTCATTTTTTACCTTTTTTCCCCTATATATTTTTTTCCCTTTTTGGTGCTGGGGATTGAACTAAGGGCCTCACACTAAGAACACTCTCTACCACAGAGCTACATCTCCAGCTCCCTCATTTTTAACTTGCAATCTGCCCCCCCCCCGCCGCAAATTAGCAACTTTCAAACTTTAAAAGTCTTAGTAATAATAAAGATATTAATATGAAAAAACAAGACACAGACTTGGAGTACATATCTGTCTGGACATATGCAAATACACGTACATGCATCTATCTTTAAAACACATAAAGAGCTCAGAATCAATAATTAAAAAAAAAAATCAACAGGGCTGGGTTGTGGCTCAGTGGTAGAGTGCTTGCCCAGTACCTGTGAGACTCTGGGTTGGATCCTCAGAACCATATAAAAGTAAATAAATAAAATAAAGGTATCATGTCCAACTATCACACACACACACACACATATATAATATATATATATATATATATATATATATATAGAGAGAGAGAGAGAGAGAGAGACAGAGAGAGAGAGAGAGAGAGAGAGAAAACCAACAGATAGGCAAAAGACATGAATTGACATTTTACAAAGAAGACATGAGTAACCAATTTTTAAAAGTACTTAATACCATTAGTTAGCAGAGAAATGAAAATTGAATTACCATGAGATAGCATTACAGTTCTGTTTTAATGCTTAAAATGAAAGGGATGGACCATACCAACTACTAGGGAGGATGTAGAACAATAGGAACTTTCATATATTGATAGTGGAAAACTGAAAACCAGGTGAGTAATTTCCAGTTAAGTAATGACCTGTCAATCCCATTCCTAGATACTTACCGAAGACAAATGAAAATACATATCCATAAAAGGATTTGTATAAGACATTCACAGAAGCTTTATTCTTAATAATAAAAAACTGAACACACAGAACAAATAAAAAGTTGTGATGCTGCATAATAATCCAATGGAATACACAGTATTTAATGACAAAACAGTGAACCACTGGTGATCATAATGCAGTAAATGACACTCAAAAACATCACATTGAGTGAAAGAAGCCAGACACAAAACAGAGCTTTCTGCATGATTCTGTTTATACAAAATTTAAGAACAGGCAAAACTAATCTATTAGTGAAGGAGATCATAACATAGTTTGCATATAAGGATGTAACTGAACAAAATAGGCAGGTGGGAATTTTCTGGGGTAATGGTAATGTTCTATGCCTTGAACAGGCTGTCAATTACATGGATGTGTGCATTTGTTAAAATTTAAAGTTATGCAAATAACACCTGTGGCTTTAACTGTCCTTAAATTTAAAAAGAGCTCTCTAAAGAAAAATATATAGTGAATACTCATTTTATGAAATCAGCATAATTATGATACCTAAACTAGACATGGACTTTACCAAAAAAAGTACTGTTGGTAGGCTTAAAAATACTAAAAATGTTAAAAACACGAATTCAGAAGATTTTTTAAACTTCATTGTCACCTTCTGAAGTTTCTAAGGTATAAACTTAGTATTCTGAAAACTAATAAAGGAGTCACTTCCCCCATATAAGCTATATTTCAAGGTAACCAAATAGTGGGTGATAGATCTTTGTGGAAGAATTCTAACAAATGCAGAAGAAATAATAGAATCCAACTATCTTAATTTTATAAGCCATTTTGCAGAGAAATTGTCTAGGCAATGACACAAATGGCTGATGGGGAGCTTCCTGGTTGATGAGCCAGGATGACACCTGTCTGTTCTCAATTATCAACCTTACCATCACTAGAAGAGAAAGAAGCAGCTATTATGAGCCTCCTGATATTCTGCAGCAGGAAGGATTCTGTTCCTGCCAAAACAATTGAACTTAAATACAATCAGCCTCTAGATCCAGTTATCAGTTTACAGGGAACACTGGTCTGCCCACTCCACTCCCACCTTATTAAACAGCACCATGGGGATGCAATTAGTCCAATTCAGAATGTGGGGGAGAAAAGGCCTGGTTTCTTTAACAAGTAAATGACAAACAACAACAACAACAAAAAAATAAGTGGGAAGCTATTATAAATTAAAAGAGACTTAAGAGACTAAGTTAATTAAATGCAACCTGTGAACTTCATTTGGATCCTGGCTTGAGCAACTGCAAAAAATAAATTAAGTTTGTGAAACAATTGAGGAAATTGAAAAACTGATTAAGACACTAGATGGTATTTAGAAATTATTTAGATATTAGGTGATATTTAGAAATTATTTAGGCTTAAATAAAAATAGTAATTTATTGGGTTTAGGGGATGATAAAACAAGAGTTGTCATATCACGAGAAAAGGATACTGGGGGGTTCATTATGCTATTCTCTCTCTTTTTGTTATGTTTGAAAATTTTCCTAACAAATTGATATTAAACTATGTGCATCTAAAAACTTTTCCTTAATTAGTGAGCTTACCAACCAAACTAGTCTAGCCACCTTATTTTGCTAGTAGTCTTCAAGCTCCTTAAATGGATAACATAACCATACATACTGAGCATCTCAACTTTCCAAAATTTGAATAAGTCTTATACTAGGGTTATATCCAGGCTGGGCTACAGTGTAGATAGAGCCTTTCATTCAGCAGCTAACAGAGTTTTCAGTGTCAAAAAGAACTTATTGCAATTCATTTGAATAACTGAGTGCCAGCATAGACCTGAGGGTTTGCAAACCTGACTGGGAGATCTGATGTATGCCACAAATTCCTGGGAAATACGTCTAAAACCCTTTAGACAGAAAAGTTAGTTCCATTTCCTTACATTTCAATCTTACCTGATTCCTATACTAAGATGAAGTGTGTGAAGCAGTGGGAAGCATCTTTTCACGTTCTAAGCTTTCAAAGGATCTCTATTCTGGCTGTGAACCACAGAAGGTCCTGAAATATGTTCTTCTTTTTTACCAGACTGTTCTTACTCTATCAGCATCTCTTTCTTTTCAGGAGGATACCAGCAAGCATAACACCTGTGTAAAGATGGCGATCTCTCAGGGTGGGGACTTTGCAGCCTTCCTCCTACAAGGCAAGATTATCCAGAGTGTGAAGAAGACTCAGATTTGCAGCTCTTCCATATGATTATTCCCCCCTCCTCAAGTCTTTTCTTTAGAGATAATTTAGGTTTACAGAAGAGTTGCAAACATAGTACAGAGTTGCCCTTATGCCCTTCACCCAGCTCCCCTAATACTAACATTAACGTGGTGATGATATATTTGTGGATAGAAGGCAAATAATCTGTGGTTGATAGTTAATAGTATTGCATCAACATACACTATATAGTACTATTAATAACTATTAATTTTATTTCTCACAATTTCATAAGTTTTTTCATTAACATAATTTCTTTACCCCAAGGGCCAATCCAGGTTACCATATTGCATTTAGTTATATATCACCTTAGTCTTTTTTTTTAATTTTTAAATATTTTTTAGTTTTCGGTGGACACAACATCTTTATTTTATTTTTATGTTGTGCTGAGGATCGAACCCAGCGCCTCGCGCATGCCAGGCGAGCGCGCTACTGCTTGAGCCACATTCCCAGCCTTCACCTTAGTCTTCTCATATCAGTGATTGTTCCTTGATAGGTCCTTGTTTTCATGGCCTTTACACTTGGAAAAAGTAGCAGTCAGATATTTTGTGGAATGTCCCTCAATTTTAGGTTGTACACTATTTTTCTTATGATTCAACTGGGGCTAAGGATTTGGGGAAGATGTGCCGAGGCAAAGCATTGTCATTGCATCATATCTAGGGGTATGTGACAGCAGTGTGACTCATTTGGCTGATATGAACCTCAATCACTTAATTAAAGTGGTATCATGGTGTTTGCCAGGTTCTTCCATTATAGTGCTACCTGCTGTTTTTTTCCTTTTCTTTTCCTTTATTTCTTTCCTTCTTTATTTACTTCCTTCTTTCCCTCTTCCTCTTTCCTCCACCATCTTTCTTCCTTCCTTCCTTCCTTCCTTCCTTCCTTTCTTTCTCTTTCTCTCTCTCTCTCTCTTTCTTTCTTTCTCTTTCTCTCATTCATTTATTCACTCATGGGGTCTTACCGTGTTGCACAGGCTGGCCCCAAACTCCTGGGTTTAGGTGGTCCTCCTGCCTCAGCTTCTCAAGTAATGGGACTGTAGGCACGCGCCTGCACAGCTTTGTTTCTCCCTGTCTTTACTGTGTAAGGAGGAAGTCACAAAGTCAAGATCACACTCAGGAGAAGATGATTTAGGCACCTTTTGGAGAAAGGAGAATTGAAGAATTTTGGGACATACATTAAATCCATTATAATAATTAACATTTTGGGGGAGATACTTTGACGTGATGTGAATATCCTATTTCTCCTTTCACTCATCAATCTTCGCACTCATCATCTAATCTTGCCTGCTGCAATTAGCACTGTGTTAATGGACATATTTTATGTAAATGTTTGTCATCTTGATTTTCAAATTTCAATTATTTTTACATATGGTATATGGAACTCTATTTATACTGTTTCCCAAGGGCCCTCAAATGTTGGATGCTTGGGGAAGATACATTTTATAATGCTTTTGTATCAAAAGAAATTTTTGTTTTATCTATATTCATTTCCTTTAGCTGTCATAACAAATTCCATTGGTGACTTAAAACAAAAGACATTTTCTGAGTTCTGGGGTCTGAAATTAAGGTTTCCAGATAATTTAAAAAAAAAATTTAACCCAGGAGTGCTCTGCCACAGAGCTATATCCAGAACCCTTTTATTTATCTATTTATTTATTTATTTTTATTTTGAGACAGGGTTTCACTAAATTGCCCAGGCTAGCTAACCTTGTGATCTTCCTGCCTCAGCCTCCTGAGTAGCTAGGATTAGAGTCATGCACCACTGTGCCCACTACTAATTACTTTTTAAAGGAAACATTTAGGCAGGATCCTATATTCTGGGAGAGCAACCTTTCCCAACTTGGTTGGTATTCTGTACAGAAACCGAACCTGTTTCTAGAACATGATAGTAGTCCCACAACCACCCCATAGGTTGTCATCTCCTCAACTATTAGAAGAACTCTTTGGGGGCATCTTTCCCAATTCTAACCCTTTGTTTGCCCAGGGCCTCTCCAGTGCTTCCAGATACACCACTTTTTCCCCAGATGGCTTTAACTATAGGGCAAAATGTCAGTAGAATTTTCTGTGGTGAAATATAAAGCATGTGAACTGGAGCACACAATTTGGTAAAAAAACTGTCTTGCATCAGTGCTGTGTGAGAAGCCCGTTTCCCTTAGATGGCAGTAGCTTGACCGTTCAACTCTCTATGGGAAAGTTACTTGGCTAGCGAGGACTTGCAATAATCATTGCAAAACTATATTGCCTTCAATCTATCAAAGTTGCTGTTTCATGGGTACCTATTGCAGAAGTGCCAGCAATTCTGAGAAGACAGGCCATTCCTCAGACAAAACTCTTGGCCTGCTTGCAGTTGCTCAATGGCTGTTTGGTTTCCCAAGCAGGAGTTGGAGATGTTTGGCTGGATGTGTATAAGTTGCCCAAGGAGTCTTGGCTCAAGGAAGCGGAGCATCCCCAAGTCACTTCAAATGCAAAGAAAAAAGCCAGACAGACACAACTGGTAGGGAACATCTTTGTTTTCAACCAATATGTCTCTTCCCAGCCTGGGCTCACATCTTGCCTTAGAATTTCAAGATGAACAAGGCCTCTGACGGCTATAAAATACAACAGGAAGAATGTCTATGTCTCCCCAACGTATTTGCTTTGGATGAAATAAAATATTAAGAGGTAGAGATGGATTTAGTAGTGGGAGCTCAGTATCTCACTTGTCTGGGACTTGCTCTGCACTGAGACTCCACACAGATATTTCTCTGGAAGGAGGATCTTTTGTTCTGATTTCTGCCCCACTGGTAATCTTTTTCCTTCCTGGGCTGAAATAATCCTTTCATGCCTTGAAATTCCACTACATTTCTCAGACTACGTATAATTGGGGCGTGTCCTTAATAAATAGAAATATGTATATTCTCTTCCAAATTAGGAACACTACCATTTCAGTTTAATTATATGATGCCTGAGACTTGTCTTGCATCTTTTTATAACATTTATTTATTTTTTTAGTTTTAGGTGGACATAATATCCTTATTTTGTTTTTATGTGGTGTTGAGAATCGAACCCAGTGCCTCACTCATTCTAAGTGAGCGCACTACCACTTGAGCCACATCCCAAGCACCTGTCCTGCATCTTTTTTTTTTTTTTTGGTACCAGGGATTGAACTCAGGGGGCACTTGACCCCTGAGCCACATCCCCAGCCTTATTTTGTATTTTATTTAGAGACAGGATCTCACTGACTTGCTTAGTACCTGAGGCTGGCTTTGAACTAGGCATGCTAGGCAAGCACTCCACACTAAGTTTCTTAAACTTTTTAAAATTTTATTTTGAGTCTCACTAAGTTCCTAAGACTGACCTCCAACTTGCAATCCTCCTGCCTTGGCTGTCAAGTCTCTGGGATTCCAAGCACATGCCACCATGCCTGTTCCCAATTACATTCTGAGATCCTACAGAAGAGGGATCATGTATTAAAATCCTGCAGGTCAGAGGATCACCCATACATTGGTCCTCCATGTCTATAGCATGAATTCAGTTCTCACGAAAGGAAATGGTGTAGGGGGAGCGGGCATCTCAGGAGATTACAGGGTAAGGGGAAAATATATCAAATGCATTGTGAATTAATTTTTCATTTTCTCCTCAGAACTCTGTCGATCCCACTCCTGTAGATAACTTAGAAATGGTAAGAAACTTTAAAGAAAATCTCCAGAGAGATTTAAATTATATTTTAAAGATTCTTATTTTTACTTGAAACATACTTTAAATATCAAATTACTGGTAAATGTCCTACCAGGACACTGTTTACAGATTCTCTGTGACTTTGTCTTGTGTCTCATATCCATTGAAGATGACCTCCTGTCCTTGAGTAAAGGGAGTTTAAATTTCAGAGCCCCTCACATTGGCTTCTTCCAAGAGCCTGGAAGGGGCCCTAGCAATGTATTCACATGGTCTTGTATTTTTGTAAAATTGGCAAAAATAACATATTTTAACTACAATCACTTAAGATCATTGTTAGCTTTTCACTCTAACTTCCCTCTGCTACAGTCCCCCATCTTGGGTGCTATGAGTGTCACCATGGGCATTTTGTATTCATAATTTTGAATTCTTCTTCTTAAAGAGGGCCCATAAAACCTGGATTTGCCCCCTACAAAAACAACAGCCTAATCCACCAAGACAAATAACTCAGGAGTTTCACCTTTGTTTTAGAATACCCTGGAGGATGGTGCAGCTTCTCTGAAGCACCCCACTCTCCATCTGATGGACCACACCATCTTCTTAGCCCTTGACAACTTGGGGTCTCAGTAGAGTAGTGGCGACTCCTGAAGTGAAAGCCTTCAGTCAGCGCCCTTGTTTTGTTTCCTTTTTAAGTTACATTATATTTCAAACTATACAACTAATATATGACTCCGTCACTCTTGGAAAAGTCAAGTCATTCAAATAAATGAACCTCTCCAGAGGGAATTGCCATATTAGATCTGTTACTGAAAACTCGGTCCTTGTCCCCACTGCCAATCCCAAAATGACAAAGTTTTGAGAAAAAAGAAAAAGAAGTTTACTGCTTTACTACCAAAGGAGAAACACAGGGGACTCCTGTCCCAGAAGCTGTGATTCTAACTCCTAGGGGGTGGACTTTTAAGGATTCCAAGACCACGCTCCAGCTGCGCCCTGTCGTCATTCACAGGTAGCTTTTCTTAGGTCCACGGGTGCCAGCTCTTAAGTCGGGGCTCTTCATTCCTGTGGCCTGTGAATGGAAGAACAGGTAACAGCCTGGAATGGGAAGAAGTTAATCTTGCTTCCCCTAAGGATAGGAAGGGGGTGAGGAGAAGAGAAAGGGGAAAAATGTCCATTTTAAAATAATCCAGAGTGGCAGAGCATCAAGGGTTATGTTCAAAGTGTGAAGCGGACCTCTGTTACAGCTTGGTGTGTGTTTTCTAGATCTTTAGTGTGTATTTATATTTTTATACTTGTTTGCTTCAAAAAAGTGTAGTTATGTCTTATGCAAATTTTTTCTAAATAAGGGCCATTGAATTACATAAATTTTTTCTTACAAACTTGTATTTTTTGTCATTGATTTATTAGTATAGTTTTGCATGTCAAATAAACTTTATTACAGATGTACTGTAGCTTATATGGCTACTAGTCTATTGATGATATTGAGGTTGTCTCCAATTTAAGGCTCTTAAACAAAGCCATGCAAATCTTCATATATTCTTCTTTATATACCTGAGTGAGGGCCTCTCAAAGGTATGTGTATTTTTAGTTTTTATATAGATATTAAGAAATAGTCATACAAAAATGGCCTGACAATTTACTTTTAATCAATATTTTCCCACAGCTTCAGTGAACTTGATATTATCAATGAATTTGTTTTACTGTAAACTAATGGGATGAAATGGCCTCTCATTTTAATTTTCATTAATTCCTTCATATTTTTATCGGACAATGAGGTTTTCTCTTTTGTGAATTGCTTGTATGTGACCTTTGCTCAATTACATTTTTTCTAATCTGTAACTTCCCTTTTTACTTTATTTGTATGCTCTTTGTTATAAAGAAGTTTTAAATTTGACATAGTTGAAACATTAAATTTATTCTTCATGGCTTTTGCACTTAAGAAAGCTTTTCCTGTTAGAAATAAGTTCTCTTGGGTTTTCTTCTAATACTTTCAGAGTTTTGCTTTTGACATTTTATGCTTCATATGAGAGGTTGTTTTGGTGGTTGTTTGTTTGTTTGTTTTGGTATCAGGGATTGAACCCAGAGTGCTTAACCACTGGGCCACAGCCCCAGCCCTTTTTAAAAATATTTTATTTTGAGACAGGTTCTCGCTAAGTTGCTTAGTCCTTGCTAAATTGCTAAATCTTGTTTTGAATTTGTGATCCTCCTGCCTCAGCCTCCCGAGTCACTGGGATTACATATGTGCACCTCTATGCCCAGCAACTTCCAGAGATAATTGGGGTCGCTATTTTCTTGCTTCTTAGGAATTTTTCAGAGTAAATCAGGTGATTAGTAGACTGAATGAGGCTCTTTGTTTTTTTGAGATGGGGTCTCGTTTTGTTACCCAGGGTGGTCTTGAACTCACGGGCTCAAGTGTTCCACCTGCTTCAGCCTCCCAAGTAGCCTCACTGCACTAGCCTAGTGTTTTTGGGTCTGCTAAATCATTTCGCCACCTCCTTTCCAATTTTTTACATTTTGTTGCTTTTGTGACTGCCCCAGAAGCACCCACACTAACCTTAGGCCCAGCGCGGCAGGTCTCTTTACTGAACTTTGTTGTAAGTTCTAATGGTTTGCTGATTTCAGTTTGCTAAAATTTGACAAATTTTGCACCTGTCTTCATGAGAGACAATCCGTAGTTTTATTTTCCTGTAACATCTTTGGCTGTGGTCATCAGGGCTATGCTCTGCCTCTTTTATTTCCTGAAGAATTGATGTAGAATTGACATTATTTCCTCCTAAAATTTTTTAAAATATTTTTTAGCTGTAAATGTATCTTTTATTTTATTTATTTATTTATATGCAGTACTGAGGATCGAACCCAGTGTCTCACATATGCTAGGCAAGTGCTCTACCACTGAGCCACAACTCCAGCCCCCCTAAAATGTTTGATAGAATTTACTAAAGAAGCCCTCTGGCCCTGGGTTGTTGTTTGTGGAACTACACATTTAATTTATTTAATAGATAAAGGCTCTTCAGGTTACCTACTTCTTTTTTTCCCCTGTAATAGGAAAAAGAACACAGGAAATTTATTACATGTCTAAGCCATGAGAAGCTTTTTAATAATTTCTATTGAGATAATTAAAGCTTTTTGAAGCTCTTATATTTTGTGTATATCAAGGAATTTGTTCACTTTTAATTTAAGTTGTCAAATTTATTGGCATAACGTGGTTCATTACTCTTTCACTGTTTCTAAAACCTGTTGTGGTATCAGTTCACTCATTCCAGATACTGGGAATTGGTGTCTTATCTTTCTTTCTTAGTCAGCTTGGCAAGAAGTTTGCCAATTCTATTAATCTTTTCAAAGAGCAAACTTTTGGTTTCATAAACTTTTCTCTATTGTTTTTCTGTGTTCTATCTCACTGATTTCCAATTTGATTTTTATTATTTTCTTCATTCTGTTTAGGTTTTTTTTTTTAGCTTGTCTTCTAGCTTCTTAAGAAAGAAACCTAGATCATCGATTTGAGATGTTTCTTCTTTTCTTGCATTTGCTGCTATAAACCTATATATGTACAGCCAGCTTTCACATCTGCAGATTCAACCAATGTCAGATCAAACATGTTTTAAAAATATTGAGTCTGTACTGGATTTTTTTCTTGTCATATTCCCTGAACAGTACAGTATAACAGCTACTTATATAGTATTTATATTATATTAGGTATGTAAATATAATAGTATTTATTATTAGGTATTACGTAAAGACAATTTAAAGTACATGGAGGGATATACACAGATTATATGCAAATTCAATGCCATTTTACATTTAGGACTTAAGCTAATCCACAGATTTTGGTATCCAAGGGTTCTGGAGCCAGTCCTTCATGGATACCATGGGATGACTAGGGGCTGGGGTTGTGGCTCAGCAGTAGAGTGCTTACCTAGCACATGCGAGGCCCTGGGTTCAATCTTCAGTACCATGTACAAATAAATGAAATAAAGGTATTGTGTCCAACTACAACTTAAAAATAAATATTTTTAGAAAATTGATGACTGAACTGCTTTAGCTGCATTCTTTAAATATTGATATGTTTTAATTTTCATTCAATTCAAAATACTTTCTAATTTGCTTTTTTTCACCTTTAACCAATGCATTACTTAGTGTATTAGCTATATTATAGATATCTTTCTTTTATTGGTTTCTAATTTATTCCATTGTGATCAGAGAACATATTTTGTGTAACTTAAATTATATATATATATATATATTATTTGGACACAATACCTTTATTTATAAAATATTTTTTAGTTGTTGATGAACCTTTATTTTATTTATTTGTATGTGGTGCTGAGAATTGAACCCAGTGTGTCACACATGCTAGGCAAGTGCACTACCACTGAGCCACATCCCCAGCCCCTATACCTTTATTTTTATTTATTTATTTTTATGTGGTGCTGAGGATCAAACCCAGCACCTCACAGATGCTAGGTGAGTGCTCTATTGCTGAGCCACAACCCCAACCCCAAGTTTAATGAGACTTGTTTTATGTCTAGTATATGGTTTATCTTGGTAAGTGTACTTGAAAAGAATGTGTTTTCTGCTGTTATTGGTCAAGTTATTCGAGTCTTCTATGTCTTTTTTATATTCTTACTGACTTTCTACTTATTCTATCAGTTATTAAAAGGGGAATCTCTAAGATTGTAGTTTTATTTCTTCTTTCACTCTTTTTTTTAAAAAAATATTATTTTTTAGTTGTAGGTGGACACATGCCTTTATTTTTATTTATTTATTTTTATGTGGTGCTGAGGATTGAACCCGGTGCCTCACCTGCTCTAGGAAAGTGCTCTGCCACTGAGCCACAACCCCAGCCCTTCTTCTTTCACTCTTATGAGTTTTATTTCATGTATTTGAAGCTATTGTTAGATGTATAATCTTATGGAATGTTATATTTTCCAATGAATGGACCATTTTATCATTACTCACTGACCCTTTGATTCCTGGTAATATTCTTTGTTCTGAATGAAATCTTCTAAGTCAGATACTAATATAGCCTCCAGCCTTCCTTTGATTAGTTTTAGTAAGATATACCTTTTGAAAATACTTTTGGGGCTAAGGTCGTACCTCAGTGGTAGAGCACTTGCCTCACATGTATAAGGCACTGGGTTCCATCCTCAGCACCACATAAAAATAAACAAACAAAATAAAGGTATTGTGTCTATCTACAACTAAAAAAATTTTTTTAAATACTTGTAACACATTTACTACTTCCTTTATTTTGGTGGTGGGTACCAGGGATTGAACTCAGGGGTGTTGCAGTAATTCACTTGCAGGTCAGCATGGGAAAAGAAAGAAGAAGCAGAGCAAGCGAAGCAGCAGCAGAATGAAAGTCCTTTATTGTGTACAGCAATCTTTTTATAGTATTGTGAACAAAGAAGGCAGCCTTCCAACAGCAATAAATCAGGTCTTTCAGCTAATTAAACATAGCATACAGAAGTTTTACTTTCTAATCAGAAGTGACCCACTTCTCATGGCTAATCTATTTTAGGCCCGGAGTATGTTGAGCTCTGCTCTTTGTTAAGAACAGATAATAAAATTTTTCTCAGCGCCCTCCTAGCCCACTTGGCAGAACATCCCGTTTGCAGGCGAGTCCTCCCAAGGACAGCAGACACCTCGTTTTCAAGCATGTCCGCTGTTACCTTATCTAAACCTTGAAGGAGCCTCTTGTTTGCGAGCAGGCCCTCCCAAGGACAGCAGACACCTTGTTTTCAAGCATGTCCACTGTTACCTATCTATACCTTGACAGAATATCCCATTTGCAGGCAGATTCCATCAAGGACAGTAATAGTAACGCAGTTACATCTGATTCTCTACACAGGGGCATTCAACCACTGAGCACATCCTCATCCCTATTTTGTATTTTATTTAAAGACAGGATCTCACTGAATTGCCTAGCACCTCACTTTTGGTGAGGTTGGCTTTGAACTTGAGATCCTCCTAATTCAGCCTCCAGAGCCACTAGGATTATGGTTGTGTGCCACTGTGCCTGCCTACTTACTTGCTCTATTTTTTTTTTTTTTTTTGGTACTGGGGATTGAACCCAGAGGTGCTTAACCAGTGAGCCACATCCCCAGTCTTTTAATTTTTTTAATTTGTTCTTATGGTTGTTGTGCATTCATCTATGAACACAGGAAAATTGCATCTGATTCATTCTACTGTCTTTCCTATTTCTATCCCCGTCTCTCTTCCCTTCATTCCCCTTTGTCTAATCCAATGAACTTCTATTTTCCCTGCCCCCCTTATCATGTTAGCATCCTCTTATCAGAGAGAACATTTGGCCTTTAGTTTGGGGGTTGGTGTATTTCACTTAGCATAATAGACGACAGTTCCATCCATTTACCAGCAAATGCCATAATTTCATTCTTCTTTATGGCTGAGTAATATTCCATTGTGTTTATATACCATATTTTCTTTATCCATTCATCTGTTTAAAGGCACCTAGGTTGGTTCCATAGTTTAGTTATTGTGAACTGAGCTGCTATAAACATTGATGAGGTCGGATCATTATAGTATGCTGATTTTAAATTTTTTGGGTATATGCCCAGGAGTGGGATAACTGGGTGAAATGGTAGTTCCATTCCAAGGTTTCTGAGAAATCTCCATACTGCTTTCCAGAGGAGATGTACCAATTCGCAGTCCCACCAGCAACATATGAATGTGCCTTTTCCCCCATATCCTTGCCAACATTTATTGTTATTTATATTCTTGATAATTGCCTCCAGTCCTTTTTATATTCATTTTGAGACAGGGTCTTGCTAAGTTGCTTAGGGCCTCACTAAGCTGCTGAGACTGACTTTGAACTTGCAATTCTGCTGCCTCAGCTTCCCTAGCTGCTGGGATTATAGGCATGTGCTACAGTACCCGGCCACATTTACTTCTTTACATTTTAACTGAATTTCTTTTTGATAGCATAGAGTCGCTTTGAATTTTTTTATACAATCTGGTAATCTCTGCCTTTTCATTGGGGGTGTTTAGACCATGTGCATTGAATATAATTATTGATATGTTGTAGTTTAAATCTACTACTTTGCTATTTACTTTCTATTTGTTCCATCTGTTCTTTCTTTTCTGTTTATTTCTGCCTTCTTAAGAATGAGAGTTTTTAATGATTTCATATTGTCTCCTTTGTTGGCTTACTGACGGATCCTTTTCCTTGTTTTAGGATATGAACATTTATTTTAGAGGTGATATTAAGTTGAGTTTTCCAGTTCCCATAATGAAGATCAAACCACCTAAACCTATAACAGGTAATTACAGTTCAGTTAATACTTTCTTTCCTTTTGCTATTGATTTCTCCATTTTCCCACTCCTTGGTCTGTCTCCATATTTCCTATTTTTTTTTTCTATTTATTAGCAGCAATGTCTAATGAAATGCATAGTTCTAAAGAGGACATTTAAAAACACTTATGAACTTATGCTCTGGGGCCTAAAAACAAACAAACTCTATTAATCCATCTATATATGTTACAAAGATACAGTAACAGAAATGGAATGTGAGGTGAGACATTGTTTCTAGTTGCTAGGTGGAATTTGTTAGTTCCTACATGCCTGTATTAATTCGTTTAGTTGATTTAATTGTGGGTTGGAGTTCGTTATTCCTGCATCCCTGTATTAATGCATTGATCAGTATTTACTGAGTGCCTACAGTGCATCAGGCATGAACATGAGAAGGTCACATCTCCTGCAACTTTAGAGGCTGATTGTCCACCAAGGGAGAAGTACAGCAATTAGGAACATGTAGGCCCATGAAAACACAGAGGAAGGAGAGGCTATCTCTGCCTAGAGAGTAAACAAAGGGGCATTTGAGCAAGGTTTTGAGGATTAAGTGGGCATTGGTCAAGAGGAGCAGAGGGGATAAGCATCTTAGGCAGAGAATACAGAGTGTATCTTCTCAGGATCTCACAAGCATGATCACTGGAGGTGTGTGGGGGGGTGTAGCTCAGTGATAGAGCACTTGCCTAGCATGCATGAAATCCTGGATCCCATCCCTAGCACCTCCCCACACCCAAATTTACTACAGCATTATTTGGAGAGCAGCAGATTGGTTAGATAAAATCTGGCACATTCATAAAAAGGAACATTTTACAAGGAATAAGAAACAAAGACAGAAGTGCAAAGGGCCAAGAAGAGCCAATTCACTTTTATTAAGAAAATGTAAGTTGGGGCTGGGGATGTGGCTCAAGCGGTAACGTGCTCACCTGGTATGCACAAGGCACTGGGTTTGATCCTCATCACCACATTAAAAAAAATAAATAAAGATATTGTGTTCACCTAAAACAAAAAAATAAATATAAAAAAAGAAAAGGTAAGTGAATAATAAAAATATAAATGAAATATAAAACTAGTGATAGGTAAAGATGATAGACATAGAGGCTGGGGTGTAGCTCAGTGGTAGAGCACTTGCCTAGCAAGTGGGAAGCCCTGGGTTCAATCCCTGACACTGGCAAAAAGTGAAAAAGAAAAAAAAGAAATAGTAAACATAAAAATGGATGAACAAAGCAAGGACGATAAACAAACACATAAGAGTAATTTAGGGATTCAGAGTGAAGACTGGATCTCAAAAGAGAAATGCCCATGAACCATTGGTATGCACAGCAAACAACCCAGCCTGTGTTCCTGTGCTCACCGCCTTGCCTGAAAGGCATCTTGATGAAATGCAACAAATTGCATTTTGTCAGGCCAGAACATAAATGAATGGAGCCATGCATAAATGAACACTTGAGGCTTGGTGGACACACTACTGAGATGTGGACAAAAAGTGGTCATTTCAATAAACAATGTCACCGCCCCCTGTTCCAGTTGTCCATATGGAGATAAAAACTTGTCTCTCCAGAGGTAGAAGAAATCTTCCAAGTCCTTGACTCCATCACAGAAAAGAATGTAAGGGTGAGTCAGATTGTAGAGAAAGAAAGGAAGAGCTTTATTGGAAAGCAGAAAGTATACACTCGAGAAAGAGGGAGTTGGACAGATCTCAGAATGAGTCACCTTGTCTTACTCTGGCAAAAGACAGTATCTAGGAAGAATAGTGGACTGGAGGTAGAGTGGGGACAGGGTCTTAAAACTTCTTGCCAGCTTTCCTTACACTTGTACATTGCCCATGTATGTTCTGATCATGCTTCTTCATATATTGTGTGTCTCATTATTATCTTAAATCTCCACCCAGAGTTCTGTTTTTACAATTATAATGAGGCTAGGGTCATTTCTCAGTCACCAGAGTCTCAAATGCACATTCTCCCTAAAGGAGCGGCCCCTCCAGATGCCTGTGTTACCTTGTAATTTAGTTGCATTTCATCAAGGTGAGTCTCAGGCAAGATGGTAGCACAAGGTCATGGGCTGAGTGGTTTGTTGTGCATACCAATGGTTTATGGACATTTCTCTTTTAAGAGTCAGTCTTCTCTCTGTATCCCTAAATTCCTTTCTCAGCGCCAAATAAGAAATGACCAACTGTATCAGAAAAACTGTACCATGTTCATTCAACATATTACAATACAGCAATGCAAATGCAGTTACACAAACGTGAATACATTTCACAAACGATAGAGAGCAAAAGAGGGCAGATAGTGTTAATACAATATGGCTCTTCCTTATGTACAGTTCAAAATCAGGCAAAACAAAGATATAGCATTTAGGATGTGTGTTTAGATAGGTAAAGTATAAAGTGCAATGAAGTGGCTACTTAAAAGTCAGGAGAGCGCTTGCCACTCTTCCTGGGGATTGTGATTGGAAAAGGGCCCTGTGAAGCTTCTAGGCAGCTGGTGATATTCTTTATCTTAACCTGAGTAGGCAGTACCAGGTGTTTGCTTTAGAATAATTTACTACATGCTCTTTGTGTGTTACATTTCACAATAAGAAAAAGGCTTAATGAATAAAAATAAGCAACAGTGAGAAGAATCTATACTACTAATGTGAACTGGTCTCCAAGATTCTGTGTTAAGTGAAAATACAGAAGGTTTGGGCATAACAACAATTTCCAAATTTTGGCTCTATCAGACTCAGTTGGAAGACCCAGTAAACCCAGACTGCGGGGTCTTGTCAGAGTTTCTGTTCCAATAGTATCAGCATTTCTATTCCTGTCCCAGGTGACTCTGACCCTGGGGGGTCTGATATCACCCTTTGAGAACTACTCCAGTATAATATGATACTGTGTGTTTATAAAAATCTCAGAAAGTTATTGAAGAAACTGAAGATAATTGTCTCTGGGGAAGCAGCCTGGGGCACTGTGAAACTTCTGGGGCAACTCAAGGGACCCAGGCACTTTCCAAAGAGAACTGAATGCTGAAACTCAAGGTTTAGACCCACAGAATAAATCACCCAGTGTTACTGTGAAATAGGAACCATTGAAAAAGAAAGAAATGAAAGGTTATTGGGAAATGAAATGGTGGGGAAAAAATGATTGACAGAGAAAGGAGACTTTTTCAAGGAAGGTAATTGGATAAACATCAGCATAGGAAGAAGCCGAGTCAAATGAATGATGTGGGTCTTCAGCATCTACTGGAAAGCCATGGTCACTGGCAGGTTTGGGCCCCGCTTAGCTGGGGAGATGGCAACAGTGATCTAAAGTGATCTAGCAGCACTGTGAATATTTCCCTGGCTTCTCGGGAGACATTCTATAATCCAGAAGTGGTGAGAAAGATGGTCATAGGAGACATAGGAGGGAGAGCACTGCTTTCTGCCTGGGCTCTGTGACAGGTGGAGCAGGGGCAAGGCTCACAGAGACTGAATTCCTGGGCTCACAGACCCGATGCAGAGCAAGATTTCCAAGGATGGGGCTTCTTCGGGAAAGTGGGAAGCATAGAAAAAGTTGGGGGAGATTAGGAAGAGGAAGTCAGGTGATTTGACTAATTCTGGAATTTTTTCAACCCAAGGCACGACATTTAAAAGTCCTCTAGAAGTCTTTGCAAAGATAGAAGACTGCTATGGGCTGGGCTCTGGGCAGAATCACTTCATCAAGGAGAGTCAGTGGGAACACCAAGAAGAGATCTTCTACACCTCCTACAGGAAGTTCCTGGATGGGGAATGGGAGGAGGAGCCACTCAGGTAAGCCCGGAGGAGCCGCCTGCTCCCCAATTAGCCCCTGGAGCTTCAGCTGTCTCGGTACACACAGGGACCAATCCAAGGACCCAACTAATCCCAAATAAGCTCATTTTGGTTTGGACAAATGTAGGGAACTTCAGCAGATTTTTTTGAAATGTTGAATGGAGATTGCTTTAACTTAATAAGAACAAAGGCAGATAGCATGGATTTAAAAGGAGCAATAGCAAGGAGCATAGCTCAGTGGTAGAACCCTTTCCTACTAGAATGTGCGAGAGGCCCTGGGTTCCATCCCCAGCACTACCATTGGAGGAGGCAGGGGAAGGAAATAAAAAAGAATATAAACCTACAGAGATGAGAAATAAGTTTTAAGTTCTTTGTATGACTCCTCTTTAAATTTTTTTTCCTGATTTTCTAAAGAAAAACACTGAAGATTCTAAAGATGGAAATAAAAGTCACCACTGTTAACATTTTTTCTTCATATCCTTCCTGCCTTTCTAAATGTAATGTAGTTTAGGTATATAGTTGTTTAATTATCACAATACATTTAATGGGTTCACCTGTCAGCAGTTAGGCCTCATTAACTCCATGTTGTATGGGTAAAAACTGAGCCAAGGTATCTGAAGTAGCTATAGTGGGGCTGGTTTTAGGGATAAGCCCTCTTCACAGCTGCTGTGGGTCTCATCTTGCTGCCAAGTAGACCTCAGATTTCCTCACTTCAGGACATAAAGTCTGAGGACCACACCCTAATGGCAGCTACCTGGCTGCTCTCTGTGACAGACCCGGAACCCTGGCCAGGCTCATTGGTGCGCTGCAGCCACTCCTACTGCCTAGGGAGACATTTAGGGGTTTTGCAGACAGCTGTTAAAATGCTGTAATTTGATGGGAATGTCTATACCATGAAAATCTGCAAACCTTATAAATCAGGGCCTTTTTTAAAAAGACTCAGTTTATCAGAACACCTGTGGCTGTTTTGCACCCAGGATAAGAGAGCATTTGTGCAGATCACCCAAGACTGCTCTTTAAAGGATCTTTCTGGACAACAGAGGGCTCACCAAAGGAGAGCCTGCTCTAGTGGGAGCTGCCCAACACCATACTGGTCTGGGGGTGATCCACAGTTCTACCTGTTCTCACCCTCCTCCAAGGTCTACACATCCTCCCAGTACCAGCATCTAGACCATGATTGGCTTGTGCCCTTGGGAAGGTTCATGTGTGCATGTCTGGTCATGTCAGGACTCTGCCATCCTCCTTGCCGAGGAGCCTGCGTGTCTCTGACTCTGTCTCTCTTTCCCAGTTCGGCCACATTCCACTTCCTCCTTCCCAGCTGCCTCACTGCAATGCCAGCAGAAGTCAGGAGCCCCTCAGGTAGGTGAGCAGGTGGTTGCCCTGGCAAGGAGTCACTGCAGGGAAATCCCTCAATAAGCTCTAGGGGGTGTTCCACAAGCCGACCTTTTATGGTAAGAGGGAATGAAGGCGGAAATTAGCTTGACAACTGGAGCCTAACAGTTCCTGTTTGAATCTGTAGCTCCTCAGCCCAGATTCTCTGATCAGGAGGCCAGTACGGCCTTCAGGGAATGACTGCCAGAGCTGAGGATGTGGGCACATGTTTGAGGACTGTTTCAGTTGTGAATTCACCTAGAAGCAAGCGGACATCAGTTTTAAGATGTGCAAACAGCTCAGGAGCACTTAAAATGTCCTTCTTGCCCAGGAAGGCGAGTGGCCCTAGAAACAGCCCCCATGGTGCTCAGTCCTTCTGACTCAGGAAACTCACCCCTCTGTCATTTGCTGCCCAATAGAAAAAAAAAAACACTTCAGACTTCCAACCAGCTTCCTCTTGAGCAGAAGACACCTTTCATGTGAGCAGAAGGCCACCAGGCTTCTTATGTAATACCTCTTTCTTCTCTTCATTCCCAGGAGTAGCCTGCATCCTTGGCATACACTGGACCAGAAGTCACAACTTCTTCCTCTATTCACTCAACCGAACTCTGAAGGATAAAGCTGGTACTTTACCATGTGACAGGAGTGGCCTAAGCTCAGGGCCTGAGGACACCTCCTTCTCCAGCTTAGCTGGGTGTGAGGTCCATACATCATTGTTGCTTTAGGGAGCCAGAGCTGTGGTGTGGCCTCAGGGATCTGTCCCTAAACTGTCATGTTTCTTCAAGATGACAGGACAACAGGGACAAAGCCCAGAGGCAGGTCCATAGGGAAAGTGATACTGAAATCTAAGTCCTTTCCCTGATTCCAATCCAATAATGAGGACAGGGTTTTGAGAAAAAGGAAAAAGAGGTTTTACTGATTTGCTAGCAATTGAGAAACATAGTAGACTCAGGTCTCAGGCTTTGATTCTAAATGTCACAGGGAACAGAGGGCTTTAAAAGGGGGAACGACAACTGGGCACAGAGGTACATACCTGTAATCCCAGCAACTCAAGAGATTGAGGCAGGAGGATGACCAAGTTCAAGGCCAGCCCTGGCAACTTAGAAAGATCCTGTCTTAAAATGAAAATAAAAAGGACTGGGGATGTAAATCAGTGGTAGAGCACCCCCTGGGTTCAATCCTCACCACCATAGGAAAAAAGGTGGGGTATGTACCACGTAGCATTGTTGGAAGATGCATCCTTGAGAGAGCTGTTGTTTCTGTTTACAGATCCAGAGTTTCTTTATTCTTATGGTCAGGGGTGGAAGGACAGATAACTTGACTTAGGATAGGAAGAATGTTAATTTTATTTCCCCCACTGTTAGGGAGGGGACAGGGGAGAAAAGGAAAGGGAAAAAAAGTCAATTTGGAAATAAGCAACCAGGGGTCAAGCAGCAGCAAGGCTTGTATTTAAAGCATGAAATGGACCCTTGTTACATGAAAGGGACCCCTGTTACAGAAGGAGGGTTGTCTCGGCTCATCCCTGCCCAGCTATTTGAAAACTGTGTAGTCCTGGGCCAGTCACTTCATACCCCAATCAGTTTTCTCACCTGAAATACAGAGCTAATTCATTACACCATCACGATCTACTACATGTGTGTGTTGTGTAGAACAAATTCCAGAATCTCTGTATGTGAAAGTCTTTGAAATTGAAAAGCACTAAGGAAATATGGGTGACGATTGCTGTTAGGCAAATCCATGAGGACAGTTATGTGAGCAAGTTTGCTTCAGTAAGTGCTTGAGCTGTACACTTATGTTATATTTTCACATTGTCAAAACAAAAACAAAAACAAAAAAATCCACACACATTAAAAACCCTCAAAGAAGGAGTTTCTTTCCTTCTATCACTCTCCCAAGCAGCCTGGCTTCTAATCTGTGCTTCTCTCCTGACTGGCTGTGTGACCTTGGGCAGTTGACTTACTCCTCTGCTTCAGTCTTCTCATCTGTAAACTGGGGATACTAATAGGACCTACTTCATAGAACCCTCTTCGAAATTAAATGAAACAATTCCTGTGGGGTGCCTTATACAAATTTTAGCACCTAGGAAGCCTTCATTAAACTTTAGCTGTGACTCAGTATCTTGTTCCTAGGGAAGAGTGGTACTATCTAGAGAGGAGTGAGGTGGAGTCCAAGCAGGTGCTCCTGGGGCACAGGCATCAGTCTGGGTCTCAGGTTGTCAAGGAGGGGAGATAGGCAGGGCCGGGTCTGGGGGTAGCCTGATGAATGGTGTCCTCCCTCTAGACCCTGAGGGTGTGTGGCCCTGTGCTGCGCCCATTGTTGTCTCTCAGCTCAGCTGCTCCTCCTCCTACCTGGTGCTGGCCTGTGAGGATGGTGTGCTCACCCTGTGGGACCTGGCTGAAGGTGAGCCCCTACCATCCCCCACCTCTCTACAGACCACCTGGTGGATCTCTAGGCAGTGAGACTCAGCAGCTCTGGACTGTATGTCTGTATGTCTAAACATGTGGAGTGTTTAGCTATGAATATTTAGAAAACTTTAGATGGAACCACATTCTGTATATTCTCCAACTTGTTTTCCAATGGTCTTTATTCTAACTTGCTTTGCCACCTTGTTTCTGAGCCTCTGGACCTTCTGTTATCTGTAAGTTCATAGTTTCCTTGGGCAGCTGGTCCTGCTTTCTCCTCATTCATTCCGCAAACACTTACTGAACATTATATGTGCCAACACTTCCCATTGCTCATGTATTTACTGGGTGCATGCTCTGTGCCTGACATTGTACCAAGCCCTGGGAGTGTGACCTTTGCCTTTGTTATTATACTTTGTTATTACTGCTCTCTTGCTGAGGCCACCCCAGCACAGTGGGAGTCCTGCAGCCTCAGCCCTCCTCCTCCCATCTCCCAGGTTCTCAAAATAGTGAGTCTTGAGTCTTCTTTCTGTGCTATTCCACCTATGCTCCAAGCACCAGGAACTCTGATATTGGATAAAGAGACTTGTAAAGAATCAAAGCAAGACCAACAGCTCTTCTGAATAGGGGGCACTTTGGTGGAGTCCCAGGGTTTGGGTCCAGCTCCAAAAGTGCAGAAATCAGTGCTGTCCGTTTCCCCTAGATGGATCAGCCTCAAGGGGAGGGGCTCCCTATAACCAGACTTAACAGGGATTAGTGAAGCAGTGGTTTGCCATTTCATAAGCCCTTGACCAACAGCTTCTTCTCATTTTTTCTAGATATTGATAAAGTCTTGTTTGGCTACACAGACGCACGCCTGCTCTCTTTCTGAAACCACACCCGGCCCATCCACCTTCACATCCTGTGTTCAGTGCAGTTCAGCCTCTGGCTGGGTTGTGGCCTCCCTTCATTTTCTGCTGACTCCATGGGATTGGTTCTCCTCTTCCCCAGCTCCTTTCCATAAAGGGAAGGGCTCCCTGGAGGGGCTGTTCTTGCCTGTTGGGCCCTGGGTTTCCTGGGTTCACTGATAGAGAATGTGCATGGCTTGACTTTGCCTCACCTTCCACAAATCTCTCCTACACTTGCTGGCCACATGACCAATGCCTGTGGCCCTCCTGGGCCCTTTGCTGACCGACTTGTGTGGTTACTTTCTCTAGGATTCCCCCTTGGGGTCGTTGCTCTTCCTGAAGGATGTACCTGCCAAAGTCTTCACTTCCTAAAATACTTCTTGATCCACAAAGGACAGAAAATGTTTCCTGAGGGACCAGTGAAATCCCAGATGAAATGTGTGGTGCTGTGCACAGATGCTTCCCTCTATCTGGTGGAGGCCAGTGGGACCCAAGAACCTACCATCAGTATGCTTGTTGAGAGGTTGGTGGCTCTGGGATCAGACATGTGACACAATTTCATAGTGAAGATTGACAGCCTCCTTGACTAAAGTCTACTCTGTATGGTCATCCACTCTACTGGTGACTGCTCAGATCAAAAGTGTCATGTGCATGTGACAAATTTGTCTAAATGAATTTTTTTGATGGCACATAGGGCATCTTTCATATCCCATATGACCAAGAAAAAGCTTAGTTCTGCCAAAATAACCTTTCATCAGTTTCCCCAGGATCTCTTTTTTAATTTTAAAAAGTATTTTATGCATGCAAATGAATCTATACGATATGTGTGTGTGTGAGAGAGAGAGAGAGTGTGTGTGTGTGTGTGTTATAAAAAAAACATTCTTTGCCCACTGAAAAGGAATCATCTCCAGTTCCATTAAGACTCCCTCTGTGCTTCTCCCTGGTCATATCCTTGCTACTCCCCATCAAAGATGATTAATTACCAATTGGTACTTAATCAGGGTTTAGTGAAGCAGTGCCAATTACCAATTGGCACTTTATCCAACCACCCCCAAATTTGATGGCTGAAGAAAACAGTCATTGTTGGCCTCTGTAGGTCAGCAATCTGGGCTGGACTCAGTCAGGCAGGTCTTCCACTGGCCTTGCCTGGACTCTCACAGGTGCTTGCAGGCGGATGGCAGCTCAGCCTGAGGCTGGGAGTTCTGGGGTGGCCTCACTCACACACCTGGCTGTTGGTGGGCTGACGGCCAGGACACCCCAGTTCTCTTCCTCATGGTCTCTCCTGCTTCCTCATATGCTAGCCCAAGGCTGCCCAGCAGCAAGAGAGCAGCCCCATGCACAAATGTTTTTCAAGCCTCTGCTTATGTTACTTGTCCCATTTGTCAAAGCACATCCCCAGGCCACTCCTGTGTTCAAGCGGTAGAAAAATAGACTGCCTTTTGATGGCCAATTGTTTTTTTTTTTTTTCAATCTATCATATTGTTTTTCTAAATTCATCATTCCTTTGATTTACTTTAAGAATTAACCAGGTATGTATGATTGTGTGTCTAAACAACTTAGTGTTTAACTGTGCATGTTTAGGAAACTTATAGATGGAACCATATTGTAGGTACTCTCCAACTTGTTTTTCAATGGTCTTTATTCTAACTCGCTTTACAACATTGTTCCTGAGAGTTACACACGTTGGCTTCAGTTCTTTTATTTTCATTGTATATATACCACAATTACTTCAGCATCCTCCTGCTAACAGAATTTGAAATTGTTCCTATGTTTTGTATTTTTTTTTTTTTTGCTACCATGAACAATTTCCTCACATATTTCCTGGTGTACATGTCAAGAGGTTCCCCAGGATATGTGCCCAGGAAAGGAAAGTCAAATTTTGAAACTTTTAAAATAGGAGAATGTCTATTTTTTTTCCCCTTACAGGCCCACAAAGCATATAGATAAAGCCATCTGTGCAGTGGCCCCAGTCCCAACCTTACCTGGCATGGTAGGTTCCTTATGCCTTTCATTTCTCTTCTATGAATGTGTTCATTCCTTCTTCAAAACCTATCTGTTGATGGCCTACTATGTGCTAGGCCCTGGACTGGCTTTTGGATATGCAGACAAAAAAAAAAAAAGACAATCCAAGACTAAGGGCGTAGCTCAGTGGGAACATATGCTTAGTATGGGCCATTGTGACATGAGGCCCAGCACTCCCCCCCCCAAAAAAGACTAAGACTAACAAATAAGAGAAAGTCACTTCATGGAGCTCACGTTTAATTCAGAAGGTCAGACAAATCACCAAGCAGCTTCCCTAGAACACAAGGAAAAACTGTGATGATTTTGTAATGAACACATGGAATAGAGCAGGATTCACCTACTTGATCTGCAGAGTTTGGGAGCAGGGAGGGGAGGTGAAGACTGAGTTGGGCTGGGGCTGAGGCAGCACCATGGAGGCAGGAGAGCGCTGGCAGGTCTTCGGACTGCAGGAAGTTGAGGGGACTACAACATCAGAACTCTGTGGGGTGTGAGGAGGGAGCAGGCTGGGGCAGGGTCCAGGGTGGAGGCACCAGCCCATGGAGTGCCCTGTGCTCCAGGCAGAAGGTACAGATGTGCCCTTCTAGGGGACAGGGCTTGAAGCATGGAGAGGTAGAGCAGGGAGCAGCATGTTCTGAGAGGGCTGGTGAGTTGGAGAGATGTGAAGAGATGGAGCTCTTGTGGTGGGTTGCCGCTGACCGAGGCTGAGGACAGAGAGGGGTTTGGCTTATCCTGAGCAGAGAACCAATTCCTAATTCCCACAGGCCCATCTAAGGAGACACAGGCCAGGAGAGAGAAGCTGGGACTCCCAGTGTGGCCCTTCAGAGGGTGAGGGCCTACAGGATTTCCAGGGGAGGCTCTGAGAGAGCTCAGGGCAAAAAATGTCCATTTGGGGGCCTGAGGGTGTAGCTCAGTGGTAGAGCACTTGATGAGCATATGTGAGGCCCTGGATTCCATCCCCAGTACAGCAAATAAAATAAAATAAAACTGTTCGTTCTGTGGTCACCAGCCAACTAGTGAGTCAGTGGCGGTTGGGGCCAGGTACCAGCAGGTTCCCAAGTTACAAGGGAGGTAAATAGGGAGAGTCATTTCCCAGGGGAACTGCCATCCCTTATGGGACAAGAAAAATGAGCTCACGTTGTGACTGAGAGAGATCCCTCCAGTTTGTGGGGTGACCTGCAAGCTTGGGGAGGAGTATGAAGGAGATGAGGGCACAGCTCCTGTGCTGAAGAGAGCCAAACACCTCCTCATGGGAACATGTCTGAGGGAGGGACAGACAGCAGGAGGTGGAGTACAGACGGCGAGAGGCCCTCCACTGCTGTGGGAGGGAAACGCATGGCTGCAGGAGGGGATGTGGGCTCAAGAGGGGCTTTGGAAGACCTGGGTGAGTTGTCTACTCCGGGGAGAAAGAGCCCAGGCAGGAGGGACTATCTCAGATCTCAGGCCAGGAGGGTGGCTGGCTTGAGCAGGTTCCCAGGGGTGGGAGGAGAGCACCAGAGGGGCTTGGTTGAGGAGCTGGAACTTGGCCATGAGGAGGGGGAGCTCTTCAGAAAGATGCTGGCCAGATAGAAGGAGGAGCCAAGCCAGCAGAGAAGGAGCAGCACCCTGGATCCCACAGTGTGTGGAGGGTGGTTTGCCAAGCTTAGCGCTGAGGGGGCAGCTGCTCACACCTGCACTTCCCCTTGCAGCCTGGGGTGGACCCAGAGGCTGGGTGCCCAAGAGCTCATAGAGTATTCCACATTGTATTGTCTCGCTTCAGACTCTGCTTTGTGGGGGACCAAGTCCAGTAAGAGTCCCCTCACCGTCTCTTTGCTTCCCAGGTGCTGATCTTTTCCAAGAATGGCTCTGTGAACCTCATGGATGTGACCAAGGCTGAAGTCATCTGTGCCTTTGCTCCCCCAAGATCCTACCATCTGGAGGTGCCCTGGGAGCCGTTATTTGTTGTGTCTTCACACCATCCATGTTTCCTGCTCCACGGTATGGAAGGGGAATCTGCTGCCCAGATCTAGGCCCTCACTGACCCCCCAATCCTCCCCGCTGCCTCCCACTCCACCTTGGGCCAAAGGACCCTGCAGCCTGGTCTGCACAGAGTTCTCTGATCAAATGCTGGCATGGTCTTTGCTCTGGACTGCTGTTCTACCAGCTCAACCAGCTCCTCTCAGCTCAATCCAGATGACCCTGCCCTTTATGAGCAGAGGGCAACACCCACCCACCCACACTGGGCCACAGTGCCATGGAGAAAGCATGGTGTCCTTGGTTCCATGGTGTTCCTGTTTCATGGCAGGGGGCTGTCCAGCTGAAACTGAAGCCACCACAGATAACGCCAATGACCCTTGGAATTCTGTATTCTATTTCAATTTTGAGACCTATCCACTCCTGGAAAACATCTCCAAAAACTGCACCATTCCTCTGAAGGACTTGGTAGATGACAAGGTGTTCTCCCGCGTGCTGCCATTGGAGGAAAGATGCCAGCGTTTCCTCCAGAAGAGGTAAAGATTTCTGCGTCTTATCCCTCCCGGCAGCTGGGTTGTCTCTGGGTCAAGAGACAGTAGAGTTTGTTTTGTGGAAGATCCTTTCAGCTTTTAAATGAGTGCATGCTGTAATTCCAGCAACTTGGGAGGCTGAGGCAGAAGGATTGAAAGTTCAAAGCCATCCTCTTAGTGAGGCCCTCTCCAAATAAAATAAAAAGGGCTGGGGATGGAACTTGTGGTGGAACCCCACCCCATTCAATCCCCAGGATCAAAATTAAAATAAAGAATAAAATATTTCTTCCCTGAATGAAGGTTGCTACCACATAGGCCATACTCCCCATTCATTTTAGTAGGAAAGGAGTAATTAATTCAGTTTGGTAGAAGAGGAAGACTTTTGTTGGATGTTTTCTTTCTGTCATGACCATCTTTTTATTTTCTCAATTAATTTATTGAGGGGCTGCGGATTGAACCCAGGGCCTCATACATACCAAGCAAGCACTCTACCTCCAAACTATATCCACAGCCCTAAATTCCTTTTTTTTTTAAAGCACATTTGCGGGGCTAGGGTTATGGCTCAAGTGATAGAGTGCTCGCCTCATGCATGAGGCACTGGGTTCGATCCTCAGCACCACATAAACATAAAGATATTGCATCCACCTAAAACTAAAAAATAAATATATTTTTTTAAAAAGGCACATCATTAAATTGGGTTGATGAACTATGGCCCCATGGGCCAGATACAGCCCACTGTTTGTTTTAAAAATAAACGATTGGGCTGGGGATGTGGCTCAAGTGGTAGCACGCTCGCCTGGCATGCGTGCAGCCTGGGTTCGATCCTCAGCACCACATACAAATAAAGATGTTGTATCCGCCGAAAACTAAAAAATAAATATTAAAAAATTCTCTCTCTCAAAAAAAAATAATAAAGGGTTTTGTTGGTGTTTGCAGTGCTGGGGATTAAAGCTTATGCATGCTAGGCAAATCTCTAACATGGAGACACAGTCCCAGCCCCTTCTAAAAACAGTTGTATTTGGACACAGTCATGCCCGTTTGTTCACAAGTTATCTATGGCTGCTGTGTGCTACAACCGCAGAGCTGAATAGTTAACGATGGAAACATGCACCCACCAAAAGCCTTAAACTATTCAGTGTTTGCCAGCCACTTCCATCATCTAGATAAAAGTTAATGTATGAATTTCTCCTCTTCCTCTTCCCCTTCCCATTCTTCCCAGTTCTAATCCATCTCAATAAATTTCTGGGGATTTTCAAGTCATTGGTGGTTCCCACCAGTATCCGACCACTCAATTTTGGTGGAATGGGGTCTTCAGTGGGCTATGGATCCTCATCCCAGGCCTGGCGCTTCAGAGCTGGGTGACTGGACTGGCAGGTCAGTTCCCTTCCGGAGCCTCCATGACCTTACGTAACACCTTTGAGCTTTGGGGATCTCTTCAGGATCATTTCTCCTCTCTATTTAGACTCCATGTTTGGAGCCAAACGGACCTGGTTTGAATTCTGACTCTACCACTCACTGACTATAAGGCCTTGGGTCAGTTAACCTCTGAGAGTCTCAGTTTTCTTATTCATTCAAACACATGTATGGTGACAGGCTGTGTCCTGGATATTTTGATTATGCCTACTTTTTAGGGTTTGTAGTATTAAGTGAGACAGTACATGTAAAGTGGAAGACACACGCTGATTCCACTGTAAATGGTGGGCACGATGAGCATGTGTCTGGTTCCTGTTAATGCAAAATGCCTGGGGAAATTCCAAATGTCACCACTAGGTGGCAGCACCACTCTGCTTTCATCCCTTACCTGCCATCTTTTTTTCCTTCTTTCCCTTCCTTGTGGTGTGGGGGATCAAACCCAGAGCCCTGAGTCCTCTACCTGCTACATATATTGTTATTGCTGTGTTGTGCTGGGTTGCTCTAGTGAATCTCAGTATCTCATGGAGGAAAGCATGCCCATTCATTAAGAGGGAGGGAAAGGGACAATGAACAAGGGGACTGTTGACTCTGCCCCAATTAAAGATGGACAGTAATGTTCAGCTCTTCCTTGTATGGAGGTCTCTTATTGTGACCCTTGATGACTAGGGCATGTAAGCAATCCTGCCAAGAGTTTAGGAGGAAGTATCATGATGTCTACTACTTTCAAATGTCCTAGCAAAATATTTACAGAGAGAGACAGAAAGAAAGTGAAATTTTTAACAGATGGTGAAATCTAGAAAAATATTTATTGGGGCGGGGAGAGAGGTAAATCATTAACAGCAGTGAATCTAGGGGAAAGTTCATTGCAACTTCTCTACAGGTTTGAAAAATTTCAAAATAAAAAGGTTGGGAGAGGTTATAAAATGTTGTTTACATATAATCCTGACCTTGAGTAGGAAAGAAGATGGGAAATGTGTTTAGCAATACAAACTTTGTTATATCTGGGTGGTGGAAATATGTGTGATCGTTTCCTTTTTGTTTATTTGCAACTTTTTTACAAAAATATGTATGCATTGTTTTAGCAAATAGGTTTAAAATAATGGTGGAGAAATAAGCCAGGAGCCTGAGGTTACCCAGGCTGTGAAGAGACGCTCTCTTGGGGAGGGGAGTCATGGCCTGGGACTTTCTGGCTTTCTCACTGGAAGCTCAGAGAATTCCTGGTTTAATGTTCTTGTTTTTATTTTGTTCTGTTCTCCTTTGTGTGGTGGGAGGGTCTTCATGATTGAACCTTTACTACTGAGCTACAACCCCAGTCCTCTTTATTTTTTATTTGGAGACAGGGTCTCTCTAATTTGCTGAGGATCTTGCTAAGTTACTGAGTCTGGTCTCAAATTTGAATCCTCCTGCCTCAGCCTCCCAAGTACCTGGGATTATATGTGTGCGCCACCACTGCAAGTGCCACTGAGCCTGACCCCCTCCTTTTACTGGTCTGGAAAAGGTGAGCCTTCCGACTTTACACAAAGGCTGCAACTCCAGCTCCAGGCAGCTCCCCTCCCACCTGACCCTAGGCTGACATTTCTCAACCTCACCTGAGGTGACCTAGTCCCTCCGACACCTGCTGAACCCTACATCAGCCCATGGAAGTTGCTTCAAGTGTAAATCTACTACTCTGAAAAAGTTCCCATTGGGAAAAAAAAAAAAGATATATTCACTATTTCTGGTAAAAGTCATAAATATAAATAAATAAACACAAACTTGTAGAAATTTGGAGAACAGGGAAATAAAAACCAAGAAGGGAAGTTTAAATAATTCATAATTTTACCACCAAATATCAGCAGCACCACTATTAATATTTCCTTCCAGGTCTTTTACCTTGGCATTGTCACCAAGTTGAGATTGTGTCACATGTTCACTTTTTATCTGACTTTGTCACTCCAGAATATAACTTAATATATTTTCAATTTTGAGAAAAGCATCTCTAGTCAGTTTCCTGTCATTGTAATAAAATACCCAAGATAAATAACTTATAAATAGAAAAGGTTATTTTTGGCTCATGATTTTGGCAATTTCAATCCATAATTGATGGGCCCTGTTGCTTTGTATGTGGCAAGGCAGCCCAGTCATGGGGTGGGAGATATAGCAGATGAAGACCACTCCCTTTCTGACCTGGAAGCAAAAAGAAAATGAGGAAGGGTCTGGGGTTCCTCAACTCCCTCAGAGGAGACCTAAGGACTTCCCACTAGGCCACCACCTCCTAATAGCACCTTAAACACATGGACCAAGTTAAAACACATGGGTCCAAGTTAAAATACATGGGCCTTTTGGGAAAATTCAAAATCCAAACTATAACATTTGTGAATATATTTTTTCATTACTGTATAATATTCCATGGGAAGGCTGTGTATTAATTTACTTCACTGCTGTATAGTTGGACTACTTGGATTAGGAGAAAAATATCCTTTCTATCTTGACTTTCCCCATCACTGGAATATTGAAGCTCATCCTGGTCCCCCAACAAGGAGTGGAAGGGACTCTTCTACTTCCCTCCTCACAACTGCCTCTCTCTGTGTCCACACTAGCTACTAGGTCCCAGTCCCAGCTCCTCCCCAGGAAGGCCCACAGCAGCTAGGTAGGATGCAGAGGACTGGATCCTCTGGAACCTTCTATAGGGAAGACGGCTAGAGTCAGCAGAGCTGACCAATGGGGTGGCCAGGGGCAGGGATTGGGATTGGCAGTAGTGTGAGCCGAGGGGAAGCTGGAGGGGACATAGCAGCAGGTGGCAGGCCCAGTTCCAATGCCTCAGGGATCAGACTTGAGGCATTTACTTGGTGAACCACATGCCTCCAGGCATCTCATCTTCTAGTTTGGGCCCACAGATTAATTGGGAAACACTTGACTTCAAGAAGTTTCTCCCCATTCTACCTGCTCTGAGGCCTGATGTCCAGGGCTTTCCCAAGGAGCATGCCCTACAATTTCATTGTGTGATTTCTCAAACCTGCAGGAGCTTTGAGATACATTTCCACACACACCATCCAGATGCCTTCACTAATGCTCCACTCGCCTCACTTTATCCCATACAGGCCACGAGGTTTGGGACCATGCCCTCTTTTTTTTTTTTTTGGTACTGGGAATTGAACCCAGGATCACTTTACCACTTCGATACATCTCCAGCCCTTTTTGTTTTTTTGTATTTTGAGACAGGGTCTTTCTAAGTTGCCCAGGCTGACCTGGAACTTGTAGGCCTCCTGCCTCAGTTTCCCAAGTCACTGAGATTACAGGCATGTGCTGGCTTCCCTTCTCTCTCTCTCTCTCTCTCTCTCTCTCTCTCTCTCTCTCTCCTGTTTATTCCTTGTTTCTAGTTTCCCTTGGCCTTAAAACTAGGTGAAACTGCAAGGATTCATGTGGCAATAGACTCAAAGTTTCAAACTTGCTCTAGTCTGTCCAAATGGTCTTCACAAAATCGCACTGGGACTTAACAACCAGTGTGAAATAGAGCCTGTCTTAGGGCTTTGAAAGGAGGCCAGTTGGCACCAAATGTGCCACCCGCCCTATAGACCTCTGCTCCCTCCAACTCAGGTCCTCCGGGGCACCCTTTCCATCAGCCTGGACACTCTGTTTTAGTGTCTACCATCTCTGGCTGTTCACAAGAGGACAGAACTTTGAGGATACCAGGGAACAGACAAAATTAGTGTCACCTCATATTCTTCAGTATACAAGGCCCTGCAAGGTCCAGACTCTCACACTAGCTTTCTGCCATAAACTGGGCTCCTGAATGACCTAACAGTCCCAAATTCACACAGCACACAGCTCTCTCACTGGGGGGAGGGGGTGGAGGCAGCAAGTGCTGGGTGAGGCCAGGTGACATGGTCATCAAGGTGGGAGGAGGAAGGTGAGGAATGGCTCCCTTTATCCTTGAAGGCCAACATTATGGACCTCCCCTAACAATCCTTTTTTTTTCTTTTTTTCTGGTACTGGGGATTTAACCCGGGGCAATTTACCACTGAGCTCCATCATCAGCGCTTTTTATCTTTTATTCTGAGACGGAGGGGCTCACTAAGTTGCTGAGGCTGGCTCTGAACTGGTGATCCTCCTGCCTCAGGCCCCTGAGTTGCTAGTATTTCACCTGGCAGTCCTTTACCTTTCTTGAGAAAGGGCTGAACCTCTTCCAGCGTTATTTGTAGAGTCAGAGAGCTCAGACCAGGCTGTTGAGTTCAAAGGCTTTGTGCAGGGACTTGAAGTTGTTCCAGCTTCTCTCCCTCTTTTCAAATAGGCAACTGGTCTTTGTGGAATAAACACACATATGCATACACACACACACACACACACACACACACACACCCCTTGTCAGTATGTTTCCTGAAACAATAGAAAGCACTCACTTTGAGCTGATGATGGAGAGAGGGTGTCATGCCTCCCTAAAGGCCTTTTTTAGGGGGCTTCCATACCCCCCTGGTCAGTTAATGCTCAGCATCAGATGAACCAGGCTGCCTCCCTCTCCTTCCTCACCGCTGAGCAGTCAGAGGAAATCCCACTGTGGATACGAGTTGGTACCACCCAGGGCTCCGCCCCGCTTCTCTGCTCACTCTCCCAGCAGCCTTCTGCCCCCATCTCTGCCTTGGCTTTGGTCCCTTGGCTGCCCTCTCCTTCTTGTCCTCCTGTCCCCCTATACTTCACCTGCCTCCTGACTCAGAGACAGAGGCACGCTGCTCATACCCCAGGATTTGGAGTCCCAGCCACCCCGCTCCCCATGACACCCAGATCTTGCTTCCTCCACCATGCTCTCTTCCATCTGGTTGGCAGTCTCCTCCCCTCCACCAGCTTTTCCTAATCATGGGCTAATGTCACCAAGTTCCCATGTCAGCAAACAAATAAGCACTTTCCTAGGTCTAGAGCCAGAGCCCCAGGGGCTGCTGGGGAGCAGCCCTCATACCACGTCTCCATGTTGGTGAGATTTCCCTAATTCCTATAGGGCAAATTCTCGGAGGTGACTTTGAGGTTGAGTAGGCACGTTGGAATGATGATGGTTTTCTAACTCGCCCTCCTGTCCCTCAGCACTTCCCACACTGGCTATGGAAGCAGAAAATCAATAGCTTGGTATTATTTTAATTTGGAAAGTAAGGGTTAAAATTTAGCCTTTTAGTTACATGTCCAGTATTGTAAATTTCTCTTTCTTCTCTGCAATTTGCCCTCTCTTTTCTATAGATGTGTTCATTTTCTTTGAATTTTAAGATTTCATTGTTTTTTTTTTAATTTTTTTTTAAAGAGAGAGAAAATTTTTTTAAATATTTATTTTTTAGTTTTCGGCAGACACAACATCTTTGTTTGTATGTGGTCCTGAGGCGAGCGTGCTACCGCTTGAGCCACATCCCCAGCCCAAGATTTCATTGTTGATGCTGCAAGAAATTTATCCTAGTTTGTCTTTGGAGTGAAGTTATTTTATTGCTTGTTTAGCCAAACAGAAGTTGTAAATGTGAACTGTCCATCATCTCCCTTAGGTTTGGTGGAGGTTGGTGGTCAAGAGCATCAGAATCCCAGGGCAACCTCTAGGCTGTTGGGAGGAAGAGGGGAGATGTGAGGATGGGGTCCTGACTCTGGTGCCCTCTAGCGGTGTGACCAGGGCAAATCTTGGTTACCTTTGATGAAAACAGTATCCTGTGTCTCAGTATATTTCCAGTACTCAGTAAAGATTAGCCACTGTTTATTGCTAGATCCATAGAGAAATCCCTTCCACACACCAGTATTATATTTTAAAAATCACCCATGCTCACATTAATGGTTTTTATTTTGGTCTTCCTTATTATTTACTTATTTATTTGGTACTGGAAATTAAATCCAGGGATGCTTTACCACTGATCTATATCCCCAGTCCTTTTTATTTTTATTTTTTATTTTTCATTTTGGAGATGAGTTCTCCCTAAGTTGCTGAAGGTCTCACTAAGTTACTGAGCCTAGCCTTGAACTTATGATCCTCCTGCCTCACGCTCCTGAGTCTCCAGGATTACAAGCATGTGCCACTGTCCAACTGGTCCTGCTGATCCGCCTTTTAAAACTTGTTCTAAAGTGGGGTGAGGCAGTGCATGCCTTGAATCTCTTCAACTTAGAAGCCTGAGACAGGAAGTTCACGAGTTCAATGCCAGCCTCTGAACCTTGGCAAGACTCTGTCTCAAAATTTAAAAGGGCTGAGGATATAGCTCAGTGGTAAATACTTGCCTTAGCATGCATGAGGACCTGGGTTTAACCCCCAGCACTGGAAAAACAAACAAAAATCCTGGTTCCAGTTCCATTTGTTCATGTCTCCTGCATGTCACTCATCAATGCTTTGTTTTTCTGATCTCTTCAGCCCAGCAAATTCAGTTCCACTTATTTATTATCTGCAGCATATGTATTATTATAATTAACTTTTATTGAGCATTTACTCTATGCCAGGTCCCAGGCTAGGTGCTTTATGGGTATAACTTATTCATCATCATTGATGTTGTCATCATTATCCCCACTTACAGAGAGAAAGCTGAGGCTTTTAGAGGTCAACTCACCTGTTCAAGGCCACCAGCTTGTAAGGAAAGGAATGGGGTTTGAATCCAAGCCATTTGAGTCCAAAACCTGAGTTTTTATTTGGCCCATTTTCTCCCACACATGGATGCTTCAGTACCAGTATGTGCATTGTAGCTCTGATGGTCCTAGTAGAAGAGTGACTGTCCAATGTTTCACAAATAGAGAAAAGAAATAAGGCAGATCTGTGATCTGCCACCCAGAAATGACTTCTGGGATAAGATCTGAAGTGTAAAAAGCAGGTGCATAACCTTGGGTTACACACTTCCACTTACGTTTTTTATTTTACTTCTTTTCTGATACTGAGGATTGAGGCCAGGGGTACTCTACCACTGAGTCACATCCCCAGCCTTTTTATTTTGAGACAGGGTCTTGCCGGTTGCTTAAAGCCTTGCTAAGTTTCTGAGGCTGGCCTTGAACTTACAATCTTCTGACCTCAGCCTCCAAACTTGCTGGGATTACAGGTGTGTGCCACCACAAATGGCTGATTTTTATTTCTTTAAAAGTAACAATGTGGAGCTGGGGATGTGGCTCAAGTGATAGTGCGCTTGCCTAGCATGTGTGAGGCACTGGGTTCGATTGTCAACACCACATAAAAATAAAATATAGACATTGTATCCACCTAGAACTAAAAAAAAATTTAAAAAAAGAGGAAGCAATGTACAAAGAAGAAGTAATTATAGATTACATTTTAAAGTTAGAACTAGCTCATCTCCATGTAGATGTTTCCCATATAGAACCTAAAACAACTCCAAAGACACAGTCATTGTCTTTCCTCTCAAAAGTATCCCTCTTCCTATTTGCCTAACTTCATCCCAGCACCCGGGACAGAAACCTGGCCAGAGTCTGTACACCCACCACAGGTGTACACATAGCCCCTGCACTGGGTAAAAAAGTCCACCCCTCACGCACAATGAGGAGTTTGTGCTGTGGTGACCATGGGTTGATTTGATTTTTAAACTTTTATTCTTTAAAAAACTAAACCCAATGTCTTCAGATTAGTGAGCCATACAGTGTTTGTCCTTTGTGACTCACTCAGTATAATGTCCTATAGGTTCATTAAAATATGTAGCATGTGTCGGAATTTCCTTTCCTTTTAAGATTGAATAATACTCCATTGTGCATGTCGACCCTGTTTTATTTTCAAGTGGACTTTCTGGTTAGTGTGTTTGTGTTTTGGTACAGGGATTGAACCTAGGGGCGCCTAACCACAGAGCACATCCCCAGTCTTTTTTATTTTTTATTTTGAGAGAGGATCTCACCAACTTGCTTAGACACTTGCCAAGTTGCTGAGGCTAGCTTTGAACTTGCAGCCCTTCTACCTCAGCTGCAGGAGCCACTGGGATTACGGGTGTGCCCCACCTCGCCTGGCCACAAATGGCCTAGAGCACTAGACCTGTCATTGGTCTCCTGGGTAAAGGCTTTCTGGTTCCTGGGGCCACTGTAATGAAGCAGTGTACCAACCCCCAGGGCCTCTCTGTTGAGCCCAGTGTGACCAAGCCCTGCCCTGGGGCTGGGAAGCTGGGAGGCTTGGGAGGCCTCTCATCTCTGGTTGTGTGGTCCTCAGCTTCCAGACACTGAAGAAGAACCAGATGAAAGGACACGATCACTGGGCCCGACTTCGGAAGTACTCCTTGATTCTCCAGAAAGAGAACACCAAGAAATTCACTCCAGGGACTCTCTGAAGAGGCTTCAAATAGGTAGGGTCTCCCCACCATGCCCTGAAGTAAAAGGACACAGTGACAAAAAGACACAACTCGAGGGTTCTGGACTTGGGGTCTGGGACCTCTTCAGAGCTGGCCAGGGGAAAGGTATATTCTGGAACCTTTGAACACTAAGCCTCTTGTCAGTGCCCTCCAGTGGGCAGATGTGTCACCCAAATAAACAGTGATAGTGTTTCCAGCCTCTAAGTTGCTGTAGTGTGTGTCCCATCATTTCTACCCCACCTAGACTCCAGCAGGGCCCAGCTAGTGGCCCTCCCTGGCCTGGAGAGCCAATTTTCTCAAATGATCAAAACACCAAGCAGCTACTATGTGGCCCTTTCCACCCCTTCTCCTTCCTGTGGACTCCTAACCTTTACAGAACCTTTGAAGGGCTGAGTTATGGCCCCGTGGTAAGGAAATGTCTGCCTCTCTGAGGACACCATGTGATTCCTTGGAGCACTGCAGAAGTTGTTTCAGCCAGCCCTAGAGGCTCACCCAGCCTCGCTGTGGTTGATAAACTGCCCTGGAGGTTGGCTGCCTGCAGGGTTTGTGACTCCCATTCCTTCCTTTGTGCTCCCATTCGCTCCTCACTGGCACAACATCTCTTATGGCGCCAACATTGATTGGTTTAATGTCCCCTGTGTGAAGGGGTCCCCACCTGGGACAATCTGCCCTCTCTCCTTCCCACTAAGGGAATGAAAACACAATGGCAGAAGCAGCTCTTTCCAATAATTCTTTCCTCCTCATATCAGGTGTGTGGAAGCTCTTTAGAATGAAGGAGCAGAATTTAGGAGGATGTTCTTGGCCTTACCCAGCACCCAAAGGTGATGAGGAACTGACACTTACTTGGTGTGTGTTTCCACATAAACCTTAAGTAACCTTGAAAAATGTGGATATTACCATAATCCCCATTTTACAGAGAGGGAAATGGAGACTCAGGTTGCATGACTGAGATCAGCCTGAAACAAGACCTGATGGATTTTTTTCAACAGGAAGTCCAGAAACTCAACTCAAATTACCTTCAACAAAAAGGAGTTTGTTGGCTAAAATAACTTAAATGTTAAGAGTAATTTTTTGGATTCAGGTGTTTTGTTTTTTATTAATTTTTTTTCAGTGTTGGGTGATAGGGAACACACAGACATGAGAGGTGAGAACAGGAGGTTAAGGGGATAATCCTGTAAACTGGGTTTATCGTGCTGATCCCCACATGTTTTCACTTTTTTTAATGTTTATTTTTTAGATGTAGTTGGACACAATACCTGTGTTTTATTTATTTTTATGTGGTGCTGAGGATCGAATCCAGGGATTCGCACATGCCAGGCAAACGCTGAGCTACCGCTGAGCCACAACCCCAGCCCCCCCACATGCTTTCATTTTTAAAAAAGCAATTTACCTGCAGGATATGTTATATTCCTTAACAAACTACCTGTTATCTACAAGAGAATCACAGGTCTGAAAGCAGACAAGGAGAAAACAGGTTACTTTGAAAGTGGAGATTTTTGTGACCCTTACACAAACCAGATCCCACAACTCAGGGAGATAAAGATAATTTCTCCCTAACCATAAAATCTGTAGGAAGAGGTTCCAATTGGAACCAGTCAGCAAGGGCCAAAGTGACTTAGAGTTGTCATGGCAGTGGGGACTTGAAAGTCTGAGGTCATCCTGCTGTCAGTCAAAAGTCAAGAGGTGGGCATGACTCTCTGGAAACTTCCCTGGGATTCCCTATGAAACTAGGGGCAGGAGAGGCATGCCATCTTTCTCTTCTCTGAAAGGGCCACCCCCCTTTCTTGAGTGTCCCCTTTTCTCTTTTCTTATCTCTTCTAGTAAACTCATGCTTGCCACTCTGAGGAATGTGTCAGAAATCTTTCTGGTGTGATCACAAAAACCAATGAGAAAGGACTGCTGGCGGCCTCAACTACCCCGCAGACCCTGCCCCTTATCTTCCAACACTGTGGATGGACCCTCGCACAGAGTAGGCAGACACTCCACCACTGAGCTACATTTCCAGCTCCAAGATCACGAGCTTTTAACTTGAGGTATATTGAATAAAATGTAAGGGATCAAGACCTTGCATAATAAATTATTACATTTTAATTTTTACTGCCTCTAATCACAATTTAGCATTTCCTCCAATTCTGAACACAGACAACAGACCACACTGAAAACTTCCCTGGGACTCCCAGTGAAACAAGAGGGCAGGAGAGTCATGCCCTCTTTCTACTCTGTGACCTGAGACATTTGTCAGCACTCTCCATATCCTGGATCTGGGCATTAAGAATCTCCCTCTTTCTCTTGGCTCTAATCCCCTTGCAAGCTGGGCCTTCTGCCTGGGTGAGCACCCATGGCACCCATAGTGCATGTTCCTTTCTCAGTGGTTCCAGCAAATTCCTGAGCCTGCTCCCCACTGGTCTGTATGTGGTCACATTCCTGAACCATGACCTACGTTCATCCCTGGAGAGTGAGGTTCCCCACCCCCACCCCAATTAAGGACTGACATAGAGGACAGCTGTCTGATAAAAGGGAAATGACAGAGTGTGAGGGAAGAAGGCCAGAGGGATGCTGAGCAAAGATGGCAGAGGTGTCCTGCCCCAGCAGAGTCGGACTGGGGGAATTCAGCTCTACCCTCTCTGGGGTCACCTGCTGTGACACCAAGCCACCTCTTCTTTCCCTAGTGTATGTGGGAGAGAGGAAGAAGGGGGAGCTGAGGCATTCACAAGAAACCTATGTACCAGATCCCACAGAGGGATGAGGGAGAAAGAACCAGGGCCTGACCAAGCCTACTCTCTGCTGGGGATCCCCAACTGGGAGACTGGGCTGCTGGGGCTCTAGCCATTCTCAGGGCAGATCACCATCAGATTAAGTAGGCCATGCCAGTGATCCCAAAGGACAGCCTAGCCTCCTGGGTGATAAATCCCCTCAGAAATGTCAAAAACCTATGCTGGGTATGGTGGTGCACACCTGTAATCCCAGCGGCTCAGGAGGCTGAGGCAGGAGGATCGAAAGTTCAAGGACAGCCTCAGCAACTTAGCTAGGCACTAAGTAACTCAGTGAAACTCTGTCTCTAGATAAAATATAAAAAAGGACTGGGGATGTGGCTCAGTGGTTAAGTGCCCCTGAGTTTACTCCTCAGTACCAAACAAAACACAACAAAACAAACCCAAAACAACTCAGGGGAGCCAGGCTAGGGTGAGACAAGTGCCCAGATGCAAAATTTAAGGAGACACTCGCTCTTGGCACTATGCAAATGCAGGGTCAGAATCTGAGAAGGGTGGAAAAAGTGGTCTTTGGCCTGGCCCTGGGACTTTGCAGTTACATTGGGCTACCTTCCCTCTGCAGCCCTGTGCCTCTCTAGTTCTCCAGGTGAGAGCATTTCAGAATTCCAGCCCACTCCAGAGTCCCCTAGCATGGACTTCATTAGCAGCATGTGACCGGAGATCCAAGGTCTGTTCCAAGGGCAACAGGATGTGAGCTTGGCCACCTTCTGGGTGTACCATCCACCTGTCCTGAGGCACATAGTTGCCTTCTGGGCCATTCCAAAGACTAGGTTGGTCCCCCACCCCAATGGCCAAATACTAACTTTGTGTACTTCTGTTTCCTGATCTGCACGACTGGGACAAGCACACATTACCATCTTCACCGGAGGTTCAGTAGCTGAAGTGACTTGAAATCGGGGCTAGATTACAGCCATAGCCTGGCTCCCACAGTTGCTCTGTATGTTTTTCTGCTGTTTCTGATTGTGTAAGCAGTTCTCTCTGGAGGAAGGAGGTGGCGTCAGCCAGCAGTGAGAAGAGAGCCACTGGCCCCTGCCAGGCACCCCCATGGCCATGCTGTCATTCGCCTGCCTGCCTCCCAGTGGGCCTACACCCAAACAGTTCCAGATTGGGGCCCGCTGCCAGGGATTCCGATGAGTTGAGATGCCACTTACTGATAGGGGACAGGCAGACATGAGTGGTGGGAACATGAGGTTAAGGGGATAATTCTATAAAATAGGCCCACTGTGCTGACCCTCCCTCCACATGCTTTCCCACTTTTATTTAATATTTATTTTTTTAGTTGTAGTTGGATACAATACCTTTATTTCACTTATTCATTTCTATGTGGTGCTGAGGATCAAACCCAGGGTCTCACACGTGCGAGGCGAGTGCTCTACCGCTGAGCCACAACCCCAGCCCATGCTTTCACCTTTAAAAAGTAATTTATCTGCAGCCCTGCTGGTTTACGTTTATTGAATTTATTAAGTTTCTCAGGAAAGTACCTATTATCTGAAGGAGAAATGCAGGCCCTGAAATCATGCTGATAAGAGGAACACAAGTTACCCTGAAGTGGGTGACTTTTGTGACCCTTACACAGACCAGATCCCACAACTCAAGGAGATAAGGATAATTCCTCCCAACCATAATATCTGTAGGAACAAGTTCCAATTAGAACCAGTCAGCATGGGCCAAAGTGACTTAAAGTTGTCATGGCAGTAGGGATTTGAAAGTCTGAGGTCATCCTGCTGTCAGTCAAAAATCAAGAGGTGGACCTGGGCAGGACTCTCTGGAAACTTCCCTGGGATCCCCATAAAACTAGAGGACAGGAGAGGCATGCCATCTTTCTCCTCTCTGAGAAGACCCATTCTCTCCAGAGTGTCCCCTTTCTTCTTTTCCATCTCTTCCAATAAACTCATGCCTATAACTCTGAAGAACGTGTCTGAAATTTTTCTGAACTGTTTGCAAGAATCCAGGGTGAAGGAGGAGACTTGTGCTGCCTCAGTTTCCCGGGAATACCCATCATGGTAAACCACTACCTAGAGACAAGTTGGCACTCAGCAGAGGCAGTGCATGCAGGGGTTGAGCACACAGGGGTGGTGTAGTCACACCTGGGTCCCAATCCCAGTGATGCTACTTGGTATCTATAGGGGCCAGGTCGGTCTTCTTAAGTTGCTCAGCCTTAAAATGGCCCTGGAACTGGGGTATCTCACCTTCCTGGGTGCGGGCCACTCTTGTCCTCACTTAAGGGGTTTCCTCCAGGTGCAGATAGGGCTGGGCCAGGAAGGGGGGAATGAGGCCACCAGAGCAGTGGGAAGTGACCCCTTCTTATCTCCAATCCTCGGTCTAGGCCGCTATTAACAGGGACGTGTTAATGAAAATTAGCACCCAGGCGCTAATAAACAGTGGGCTGCTCCCGGGCTCAGAGTCAGGGGAGAGGCCCTCTGCAGGGAAGGG